ACCGACGAATGCAACGCCGAAGAAGCTACAGCACGCGAAACCGCAGACGAACTCCTAGCATTCGTGGAAGACACCGAAAAAAAATCGTCCCCATGTACCGCCGGCGTGTGCGCGAATGCCCGCTTGTCCAACACATCCCACATATCGTCCAAACACGAAGCATGTCGCCCAAAAGGGGCTTCCATGGAGAGCTGCTCATCCTTGTACACCTGTCCAGACACTACGGGAAACTGCTTCAACATGGAGTCTCGAACAGCTATCTGCACTTGTGCATCCGAAGGCTTGAACGCGTGATGAGAAACCATGACAGTCATGGCCAGAGCCTTATAGCGACGAATGTATTCTCCGTACGTCTCGCCGGTGGACACGCCAAAACTACGAAGGCGATCGATCCCCGAGCTCTTGTCTTGAGTGTCCCAAGCGGCCGCCAATTTCTGGATAAAGAACGCGTACGTCGAGGGCCCGGCCGGTTCCTTGCGCAGATGGTTTTCTACCTGTTGGAAAGTGGCATCAAGAAATTCCAGCGTGGCACGGTTGGTGGTTTGACCTTCAACGACAGCAGCACGAACACGTTTGCGCAACAACGGAAGCCATCCTGCGACCCAGGTGGAGGAAGCGAAAGTCTGCTTGCGTTTGACGTCGCTTTTGTTGAAGATCTCGGTGACCACGCCCTTGCAGCTAGACGCGAAACGAGCAAATTCATCAGGATCAGAACCAAGGGGCAAGCGTGTGACACTATCAAGTTGTTCCGGCTTCAGCTTGTCCATCTTGTCTTGAATGCGGATGGTGTCGGCCTCCGCTGCAGCGGCGTCCGCAGCGTCCAAAGCCTCCTGCCTCGTCCTCGCCCCCGTGGAAGACAAAGGCAAGCTAGCATCATCCTGAGGCAACGGCGATGTCGCGTTGGCCGGTGACGCCATGACGTGGCCGGTCGCCGGGCGAGGATCGATCAGGATAGACGTACGCGGGAGAGGGGGGGGCACCACCAAAGGCTGTTGTAGCAGAGCTGGGGCGGTCGACGCTGATGACACCACCAAAGGCTGTTGCGGCAGAGCTGGGGCGGTCGACGCTGATGACACCACCAAAGGCTGTTGCGGCAGAGCTGGGGCGGCCGGCGCTGATGACAATGACACTGCCGTGGCCCTGGCAGCTGCCTCATCGTGAACCTCGTACCCTGAACGAACTCCCGAGGAACTCGAAGCGTGGTCTTGCAATGGTGCCAAATGCGCCCGTGACGAAAAGGGAGGGGCAGAAGGTGGCATGCTAGGGGCGTTCGAGGGCACAGAAGGTGGTACATTCGAGTCGGCAGCAGCATCCACAACTTGGCCAGGCGTTTGCGCGCGCAGGAGAGTGAGCACTTGTTCCAACAGCATTTCAGTACGGGAAGCCGAAGTCGAGGCGTGTGATGCAGCATTGCGTGGTGAACCAACCCGTTCGTCCAAAAGCAAGGAAGATGTGGGCTGATCTACCACGGTGTGTGTAGGGGCATGGCTTTTAACCGCGGCGGAATGTTCACGAAGTTGCATGTTGGCAAGTTTGAACGCCAAAGTAGACACGGGCGGCGGTCCTACATCAGCGGGGGGGGGCAAAACCGGTGGCGAAGAACAGAGTGAACCATCTTCTGAGGCAGTCTTACGTTCCCCCAACAGCCCAGAACTACGAAAATCACACCGATCATACTGCACTTGCCTGCGACCCCGACCTGACTTCCGTCGCCCTTTGCCCCCTCGACCGCTGTCCGAGCTGGTCGCCCTGCTGTTGCCCCCGCTCCTCGTCGGGCTCCGGCTGCGGCTACGCCTACGCGAAGGCGTGTTGCTCCCGCGGCGGTCGCTGCTCCGGCTGCGACCGCGCCGAGACGAAGGTGCGTGACGTGGCTGGCGGTCGGTGCTCCGGCTCCGGCTCCGGCTCTCGCGGTGTCGACGCTTGGACGAAGATTCCGCGTACCCCCGCCCGCCATCTTCAACACCCGGCCCTCGCGAAGTGCGCTCGGCCGTCCCGCTCTTGGCCGTGGGGGCTTGATCACCCCAACGGCTCCTCCGGCTGGCGGAGGCAGGAGCCGCCGACAGACTGTAGTCCTTGGTCCCTCCGGAACCATGCGCACGGCGTGCAGAATCCTGCTGTGGGAGCTGCAGATCATGCTGAAAATCGTCGTTGGTTGCCGTACGAGCTAGCGGCAACCGAATTCCCCCATTGTGCACCACCACCGCGGTTCCCTGGGGACCCTCGGTGAAGGAAGCCCTACGGAGAGCAGACACTAACAGAAACACACTCTGTCGTATGGACGGTTCTAGCTGGTCGAGGAACGGACTCGATACAAGATGTGCAAAACCAAGGTCTGTATAAGAGTCAGGACAGCGGTCACGCACGATTTGTTGGAGGCCAGCCCACGCGAAAAGGGCACTAGTTCGGTCAGCATCATGGAAGGTGATCACATCTGTGGGCGTGGAAAGGGGGCGGGACAGGAACGCTGTGTCTACTGCGTGAAACCTGTACTCCTCGGCTTCGTCGTCTGACGCGCCGTCGGCATCCCCGGCCGGCCCACCCAGCGTCACAGAAAACGTATTGTAGGCCGAACATCAAGCAATCAATCACAGAAAGAAGAAAGATGCAGGTTCGCCGGCTGGTTCATTCAGTGGACAAGTTCCCGACTACATATTCATAGGGCAGCGGTTACATTTCATTTATTCAGGAACGATGTTTAGCTTTTTGTACCTCCGCCCGTGAGGGAAAAGGGAGCGAGAGCTCGCACGAGACCCACAAACAAAGAAGTGTTTTGTGTTTTCAACCGCACTAAAATAAGACTGACGTCTTTTCATTGGTCAACCGGTTAGCGCGGTCGATGCTAACAATAAAGACACACACCCTCCCTTCCGAAACGGACTCACTCCCTGCTGCTATCACTCGAACAGCTATATTTTAGGTGTACACATATATATATATAACAGCCCGGGGGGTAGCCCCGGCCTCATCTGAAGCCCTTTCCTTTTATTGTGGTCAGGGAGAGGGTAGATATCTATCTAGACTATGGGGGGTCGAGGATGATAGTAGTAGTATCGTTGTTCGCGGTGATAATAAGAAGTTGAACGAAGGAACGAAGCAAAAATTTTCCTCGTCTTGACTTTTGTGGCGTTGGCATGATGGGTACCGAGTCGGAAAAACGACAGATGGCCGTCGGCCGTGACCATGGTAGCCATTGATTGGCGTCAGATGAGGATCGGCAAGGCTACGCTTTGTCGGGTAGACGGGGAAGCGTGAACCACATATTTTTCTCCTGTCGTCAAGTACGTACGGGAGAGGATGACCGAGGGCAGCCGCGATGGGTTATTTGTGCGAAGATTGAAGATTATCATAGATGTGGTGGGAATTCTTTGTGATGGTCCAGGCACGCACGTGTTTGTCTGCAGCGCGACGAATACCGCAACCAAACGGCAAACCGCAAAAGAAGCCAGAAACAAACCAGGCAAGGCCAGGCGCGAAAATCAGTCATGCACGCGCACGGGCAAACAAAGTGGACTAAGGTCCGCCGAGTGAAACACACGCGGGGAAATGAAGTCGAAATAAAAGCGGGAATAAAGGCAGTCCGACCAGATAAGAAAATGAAACCTCGCGTAGTACAGGGGTACCATACACTGAGTGGTGATCGGTGAACGTTTAAGGCATGTTTCACTCATTATAACAGGGCTATGTCCTAAGTCGTCGACTTTCGTGCATGATTCTGTACCACAACCAACCGTGGACGTGCATCCTTCCCGTCGTGGGTGCGGCTGTACTTGCGACAAGTGGGGGTAAAACTGGGGGTAATGATGAGGGAGGGGTGGTTCGGTTGTTCGCGCACGAGGGAGATCTACGAATGAGACATACAACAACGGACGCGTTCTCACAAGCTGACACAAGCGTCAACACGAAACTCGCAGGAGGGGCCGAACGGGCCAGGAGGAACACCTCTTCCAGCCCCACGAAAATCTATCGATGGAAGCTCGAGAAACATCGACCGAAGAAAAACAACTTGCTTTTAGAGAAGAGACCGGAGATCACCTCCTCTGAAATCAAGTGAAATGCAGAGAGTGGGGTCACTTTTTGGTGGGGTAAAAAAAGTGGGGTCGGAAGAAGTGGGGTCGTTTTCGAATATAGGTTCTGAGAATATCGGCGACAGAAACTCAGAATGTACGACCGCCGGCGTGCAAACCAGCGTGGCTTTTAAATGGGGGCGGTTCCGCCCGTCCTCCTCCTGCGTGGGAAAGATTGTAGTCTTGATGTGCGCGATACCTACAGCAGCAGTAGCCAAACTGGTTTGGATATATATATGCATACAGTAGTACGGGCAGCAGAAGAATGATGTGAAAATGGACTATTTCGGCTGGTCCTTCGACTCAAAAAAAGCAAGAGACTGTAACTGTACTGTAACTGCTGTAAGCCAGATCTACATACATACTTGTTTGTCTTCGTGTGCAACATGAAAAGGAGTGTAAATTACATACGGGGGGACTACAGTAAGTAGAGGGCCCTCAGTAGTGCCGGTAAAGACAAGTTCACCGGCACTATTCACAAGAGGGACGGGCACTATTACTAATATTCAGAACAGACAGGGATATACAGTATACAAGTAGGTTTGAGTACAGGAATGGACACTCGTGCCCAGAGGTTCCACCGATCGAACCGGGCATAGACACCTTCAACCAGCACCACTGAGGGACCTGCCTGAATGAAAGATCGCTCATGTAGCAGTGTCTCGACTCCTTATTCAGGAGCAGGTAGGCTACCATGCTACCATCTGCAAGGAAGGTTTTGCGATATGCCGATACTTACGGTGCTTAGTATCGATTCTCCTGCAACTCTTGGAAAGCTCTCTTCTCGCTCTCCCCCCCCTAAATATCGCAGTAACATATCGTGAGCAAGCAGAAAGGTACTTGCTGCTGAGAGAAAGGCATGTCTCGGAAACTTTTCGCCCCCTTGAATACATACCATCCATTCCTACCAGCACCAAGCAAGTTGGATCGAATCACACTTTGGAAGTACCCGTTATGGAACACACACACATATCAACCGGACACACACAACCAACAGAGACAGATATTCGAAAAAATACTGAAGACCGGACCGACAAGAGGCACGAACAACAAGCTGCTGTCGCTGTTAGAAACTACAACTAACATCATCAATATCCCGAAGGGCCCGAAGGGGAACATGACACAAGCACAGCGACGCGCTACAACACGACACCTGCTCCGTTCCGTTCTACAAGTAGACAATCTACAACTTAAATTTTACCTACCAAAAGACGCACACGAAATAGCGGGACAGCAAGGCGGTGGGACCGGATTCGAAGTCTCTCCGCTCCAAAAAACACAGAAGGTGTATGTACACACAAACATAGAAAAATAAGCAGAACAACACGCTAGCTCTCCTTGCGCGGCGTACTGTAGGCGTCAAAATTCTCGCTCCCGCACAATACTATCAAGACGCGGTGGCGGTGCCACAACGCTTCCTTTCTACAAAACCTCTATCACGGAGGGCAACCGCGACCATGTACACCCACCATCACACGCACAAAACTGAAGCCAGGATAATGTTATCTTCGCACTGGCAAACCACGAAAGAACACAAGCCTTGTGGAGCATATTGTAAGTACCTGCGCAACGAGTAGGGGCACGCTGCTGCAGGTTTGGCCATGAATAATAAACATGCCGCCAGGCAACCCAAGCACGGCGGGCGACCCCAAGAAAGCTGAGCGAGATTCCGGTCGATCGGTGTTCCTTGTTTATCGAAGAAAATTGGCTCGCGCGGGACACAGATGCAATTTACACAACAGATCTATATCACCACACCTTGCGTGCTTGGGTGCACTTGCTACCTTTCAGGCGGCAACCACGGAACACTCCCCCCTGGTACATTCAGACAAGACAAGATCGCCAACATGCATACTCATGTACTTTACATTGCCGGTTTAGACGAACAGTAAGGGAACCGATGTGTGGAAACATCGCAGGCCCAGGAGGCCGTACACCGCCAACACCCGCGTGCATCGACAACAGAAACAATACTACACATCTTCGATACTTGCGCAGACAGCACCGCTTGCAACACGCGACGATGCTCCTGGCCTACCTTCGAGTCCAAAACACGCAAACGCCCAAGAGCAAACCCTCCAACACCGCCATAAACATGGTCAAATACTACATACCCGCGGATGGGACCTAGATCACCCGCATCCTTCTAACCTTCCAACGACACCAAGGAAAATCTTTATTTCCCCATTGAAATCTGCGGACACAACAGCCTTCACCATTCCCTCCCCTCCAGGAAACGCCCCACAACTTTGTCCCGGGGTAGTTCGAGTCGCTTCAGGACTCCCCACGTGCTGTTGGGCAGCGATCTCGCTGCCTAGCGCCATCGATGCCTCAGCCGCATTAACGGCCCTTGGCGAACCGTTCTTGTTAATCCAAGGTTCTGATACGTGAGGAAGCATTGCCGCGCTCTCCGCCTTGCCGCCGCCGGTCGTCGCCTGCAGTACGGGTGGACACAATGACACCGCGTGGATGATGTAAGCTTGTGCGCCGGGATCGGCACACTACCGCATACGACACAAGATAACACACCCCGGGGACAACATTTTAGCGATAAAAAAATCTCACCGGGGGTGTTACTATGCGGGGGGGGGGTGATATCTTGTGTAGCCCGGGTGATAAATTGCGGCCGTGTGGGAGGCATGAAGGGGGTGTGATCACTAGGGTGTGTGATACCCCTGCCACACACATGGGTGTGATGACAACGGGGTGCGATACCCAGAGGGGGTGATGACCAGGAGGTGTGATAACTAGGGGTGCGATATTCAGGGGGTGTGCTATTCTGCATCAGCACCTTCGCGTGCTGCTGAGTCGCTCTCAGCAGCAGGCTGCTGAGCCAGTGCGGTGGCTGCCACATTGGCGCTTGTCGCTGTTCCAGCTTTACCAGCCGCAGCAACAGCAGCAAGAGGGAGGAGACGAAGGTGTCGAACCTGTCTCGCGTTTACGGAAGAAGCAGGTGATGGGTCGAGCCGCTGCTGCTGCGGTCGAAACAGCTGCCGAGCAGCAGAGGTAGCAGCAGCGGGATTCTGCTCTCCCTGCGCGTTAATGTCACTGGAGGTCTCCATCCGAGTCGGTTCGGTTCCCCCGCACTCGGAGGGTGTGTTGGGTGCGTACCCTGTTGAGCCATCGTGTGTGTGGTCAGTGCTGCTTGGTCATCACCGGGGTGATAGCAGTGTGGGCTCCGTGATTCGGCTGCAGTCGAACCTGAGGGGGGGGTGATATCTTATGTAACCCGGGTGGCGTTTCGGCTTCTCCTTTGAGATCCAAAAACAATAGCACCGGGTGTGGTATTCTGCGGGGGGGGGGGGGCTATATTCTGTGGGTGTGTTTTCTTGTGTCGTATAGAAGGTAATAGAGAAAGCGGTGCGCCAGGGCAAACAACGCGCACAAGAGCATCTGTTATCATTCGCGATAGTGTACCCTTTCCTTTCTCTCCAGGGTACTATTCTACGCTGTCGGATCGAGGAAGTGCCCCCCTCCCCCCCCCCTCCCCAAGAAATAACCCCGAGCGACGCATCATCATCATCATCATCGGGTATTAAACCAACCTGCGGCAACGTCTTGGGATGTGCCCCAGCTCCCGCCCCGGCTGCCACAGACCGCGCGTGCCCGGTGAACGACCACCTTCGTCGCGAGGTATGGTGCCCACCGCCTCCATCGCCGCCCTCTTGGGCATCACCGGTGGCATGGGCAGCCGCTGGCATTGGTGGAGAGTGGTGCACCCCCCCTCGCCACCCCTTCGTCCCTCGCTTGACGTCGGCGGCAGAGTCGTCGCGCTCTACGCCACCCGCTGCTGCTAGGCGCGCGGCTTCGAGAGCAGCGGTCGGCAGGAAAGCCGCCGCGGTGGCCACCTGCGGCAGCGTCGCGCACTGCACATCGAAAGACGATGACGTTCTGGACTTGACGAGTGTCGCCGGGGTCGTCGCGGTGGCCGCGGTGTTCGAAGCCGAACACGCGGGAGGAGGGCCAGGAACTGCAGCAGCAACGCCACCAGCAGCGGCGTGGCCACCGCCGCCGTTGCAGCTGGGAACGGAACGGGCTGTTCGTTGCCGACGCTGCTTCGAGTTCCACAAGTACACCTGAAACAGAGAGACAAACACGGGTGTAGGTGAGTGATGGACCATGAGCAAACGCGAACTCCGGTCTGGTGGAGCCAAGAGCAGTCAGTGCCACGCACGCCTGTATGCATAGGGCAAAGTTTTTACCTACAAGTACCTACATCTTAGGTTACGTTAGTGTTGGTACGTCGCCGCGGCGCACATACCTGGCCGTCCTCCGATCCGGACACCACGAACATGCCGTCCGTGCTAAAGCTGGCCTTGATCTGTATCCCATCGTTCACGAGGCCCTTGAACTTGGACGTCTGCGCGCGCCGCGGGGCAATCGCAGGACAGCGTGCAACAACGCCATTGGTGCACGTACAAAAACACAAACCAGCAAATTCTTGTGCTCCCACGTCCCAACTCTTTCTATGAAATGCATCGGGTGGCATCACATTTGCAAGTGGCAAAACATCAACAGCTCCAGATCTGCGAATCTTCGTAACCTTGCCGAGCGCGCACCAGCACCCGACTGCAGCGAGCTCTCTACAAGAAACTACCCACAAAGTAATCAAGTCGCGCTCACCATGGCGAAGTTGTCGAGGTCGTACACCCGTAACCGTGAGTCGTTCGTCGTCGTCAGCAGACTATACTGGGACGACATGCTATCCGCCTTACCCCCCCTCAAGTGCTGCTGTTGCTGCTGCCTGTTCTCCGCAGCGCCGTCCCCTCCTCCTGCTGCTACTGCTGCAGCCACTGGGCACCCCGCCCCTCCAGCCTGGTTTCCCGCTGCAGCCGAACCGGCAGCCGCATCCCCACAGGGGTGCAGCCGCGAGGTCTCGATGAAATCGAGCCCGGTCACCTTCTTGCCTCTGCGTTTGGATCCGTGGCGATTCCGGCAGTGGATCTACCGTGTCGCGCACGTTAGCGCACCGGAGGGAACAGGGAAAAGGGAGCAGATCAGAAAAAAAAAAAAAACAGCAGTACGTACCGCAGTACGTACGTGAACACCGGAAAAAGTAGACGTTTGCCCGACTTGGTAATATAGTACGGTGCTTGACTGCCAAAACAAGGCACGGCAACCGGTGGGATACCTCGCATCTTGAATCACACCGCAATCCATCCTACCGACGTCGCATGCTATTGTGGCCAACTTGCGGTTCAACCGATCGAGACTCATGGGCGAGTCCTGCAGGGCCTCGCTCACCTGGGTGTAGTAGCGAAGGTCGGTGGTGTGGTAGAACATGACCCTGCCGTTGAACAGCCCCGCTGCAGCCAGCTTCCCATCTGGCGAGAAGCTAGCTGCCGACACCATGTCCTGGCATTGCACCCAGTCCACGACTCTGCCAAACAAGACGAGACAAGCCAACAATCAAGAGCAGCAATGGGCGGGACAAGGTAGCGGGGCGGAAAACATGAATTGGTTCCGGAGAGGCGGCGAACAACCGTGCTGCTATGATACAGAAGTTTCACAAGATACGTTTATCGGGACGTCCGTGTGTGAATTCCCTGGGCATGTGTAATGTATGGCGGCCGGTCAGCGACTTTGTCGAAGCAAGCTTTGTTGGATCGAAGCGGTTGGGCGTGAAACGAAACCAAAAGAAGCAGCTTCAGCCAAAAAAAAACGAAAATAGAATCAAGCGTCTTCGTAGTCAAGGGGATACTAGTGTTATCCTGAAGCTTCTGTTCTGGGCTGCCGTAAGACGCGGCTACTCCGACCCCTCTCGCTTTAATACAATTTCGGCTCGCTCGCACACCAACTCTGATGGGAATTTTCCCCCGCCTCGGGAGCCGAATAACAATTTCTGTAATGGCAGTTCGCACCGGCATGCATACCTGCATCTGGCAAAATCTACGATGAGAGGGTCAACATTTTTAAGAATCGTGGCTCATATTGAATGAGCTGTTCGCGAAGCACTCGCATCATCGCTAGGTTCTCCGGACGCATGCAGAATGGCGTCGTAAGCGAGACTGTTCGTGCGTGGTCGTTCCCGAGAGCCGTAGCTGCAACGTGTAGATAAACCATAAAACCACCAAGTGGTTCCCAGCCCAACGGCTCTGTAAGTGTTCCGAGATTGCCAACGGACACGGGTTCGTGGCTGTCCCTCTCCTAGTTCTAGATCCATCTTCACCGCCGTTGTTCCTGGGACACATGACTCACAGCCACCGACATTCCGACCCATCACGTCACATGTTAGCGGTTGTTCCTGCGACACGTATAGCCATGTGCCGATGTTGTTGCCTGTAGGGCGGTGGTTGTTGGATCGCCGCTTCTTCACAACGTGCGAGCAAACATCTATTTTCGATTTCAAAAGTGGCGTAGGTATAATCGAACTGGCTGGCTGTCGGAATTCTATTTTTACTAATGTTTCAACTCTGTAGTTCTACGCCGATGTTCACCGCGAGGGTCTCCACAACGCAGCTACTGCCGTGAAACGCAAAGAACCATCGTATGTACGCGATGGTTGGTTGTTTCTGGGACCTGTTTGCGCTCATGGTACTGTCAATACAATCACAGGTGTTGCTCCCCACAAGAAAAAAAAACGAGGAAAGGAATCGGCTTTTGCCATCTCAAACAAGTCATAACCTACATGGGCAAACTGTTGAAACCCTACGAACTTGATTTTATCGTGCGCCATCTTACCTGCCATCCGGAATCTTCCACAGCCGCAGACGCTTGTCAAAGCATCCAGTCAAGAATATGTGATCGTCGAGCGGATGGAAATGTACCGAAGTCACGAAGTCAGGGTGCGTGAACGTTCCGAGGCGCTCCTCCCTGTACGCGTGTGCATATTCCGGGAAAACGTGCATCCGGTCATAAAACACTGGGTAAGTACATCTGTAGGGTGGGGTGATGCAGTGTATGCAGTGTGGCGCCTCGACTCAGCGACACAGCAGACAGAAAAAAAAATGCCCGACACAAAGTGGAACAGGTTTGATCCGATGAGACGCCGGACAGGTATATAGAGAGGATTCCGATGAGCACGGCGAGTGTGAGGTACGGATAATTCCTTCAACCACGCTCTATCTCATCGCCGAACAGCGAGCAACTCGTGTTCGTAAGCTGCTGGGTTTTTTTGTTTTCTCCACAAAACTGCTCTCACTACAGTAGTACCTCTTCTTCCCTACTCTCCGGGCAAAGAAACGAACTGCCGCTATCCCACGTTACCCACGTTTACAAGGGCCAGACATAAAGAACCCTCGAGACCGTAAACCTCGGCAAGCGTTCTGCCGACTGTATGGAACCTTGGCTGTATGCCCTTGATCGGAGATGTCAAATCTTTTGCCCGTCTAGGGCAGCAGCACGCGCTCGCGCACCTGATCGGGTGCCACAGCATGACGGTGTGGTCAATGCTGGCCGAGCACAGGAAGTCCGAGTGGCTCCAGCTCAGGTCGACGATGTCGCTCTTGTGCCCCTCGAACACCCGCACGGGAGTCGGAGCAAACACCTGCTGCCCATCGCACAACGGTGGTTGACACGAAAAAAAATTTAAAAGGCTACCAGGTAAATATTCCAACCCGCACAAAACACCAGTCAGTCGCACCCTGCCTTCGATCGGCCATTGTCGAGGTAAGCTCGGAGGCCTCGGCCTCTGGCTACAAAAGGTGAGCTACGACTTCTTCCCTAGTGTTGGTGGTGATGTCACTGTACACGCAGGTCATGCTCGAGAGATGGCTGCAGAACCGCGAGGGCCCTCTGCGGCAGGGAAGGGTTGGTCGTGGCAGCGACAACGCCGCAAAGCCTCCTTCTCGACAGCACAGCCCACGAGATCGGAGCTTGTCGCAAAAGCGGAAGCGTACAATAGTTAAACGGTATATAACCAACGGGCGCGGGAAGCTCAGTGCTGCAAGTTCTGAGCAGCAACAAGAGCGAACGGGTACACAAGGCCGGCCCGCCGGCGACATACGGCATGCCATGTGCTCGTGCACACGCCGTAAGATAAAGACACCATCGCAACGGGACTCTCATCAGCAAAGGAGAAAAAAACGAGACTAGTGTACATCTCAGTCTTCTTGCCTGCTAACACCAACAAATCGATCCGTTGCGTGCTTACCTCGGAGCCCGACCAACTGTCCCCCCTTTCCCCGCTGCTGCCACTCAGGCCCAGGTCCGAGCTACCATCCCCAACCGACGCTGCCCCGTCATCGCTGAGAATGGTCGAGGCACAGGACATCGACTCCGTCTTGCGAAGCGTCTCTCTTGACCCTTCCCCCTCTAGGGTAGAGCTGGTCTCAACGCCCGACGAACTACTCTCCTGCGCGTCGGCACCACCGTTGGTGTTGGCGTCCACCCCATCGCCCTCCATCGGGGGGGAAGCACCCTCGCTGCCATCGCGTACAACCTCTGTTGTCGCTGCTGCTGTTGAGCCTGGAGGGACAGCTAGATCCCAGATTACGACCTTCCCGTCTTGACCTCCGGTTGCTAATCGTGTTCCGCGCACGTTAAACTTCATCGTCCATACCGGGCCCTTGGTCGCGACGATGGCGGCGGGAGTGCGAGGATGGGACGGGTGTTCATCATGGGCAGGAGGCATTCGCAATGCGGGGTGGGAAATAAAACAGAGCATGGACGAGGCGGCGGTGGATCTGAAGGGGTAGAGGTCTCAACCACAGAATGACACGCGGCAGAGTCGTTCCCGTAGTCGAAAAAATATATATCGTTATCGGGCAATAAGAAAGTCAAAGTCCTAGTTCCTGTGTACGTGACACAAATCTTGGAAGCGCTTGTTCGCGAGTACAAAAACTTCGATTCGACTTGATTGTTGGCGAGAGAAACAGGACCTCTGAACTACTTCTCTCGAGAACAAATCGAAGGCCTGCACCCCCTCAAAGAAGTGTTCTCCTTCAAGACTCCGGATCTTAGTCCTTCCGTAGGTGGAGAGGACAACGACCAAACGGTAAGTAGACGGATCGATAAACAAAAAAGAACTGTGCCCATACCGTAGCTGAGGCGATTCGGACCCGGCAATGATGCACGTGCAGTCTACTGTCGCTCCTTCCATCGAATACCAGTGTGTGTGTGACCCAAACAAACGTCAATTTTTTTCATGTAGGGATCGACGTGCGCGTGCGACCAAACAAAAGCACGCAAGAACGTTTGACACCTACACTATCCGCACAGATACATCCTCGCCAATGGGTCCGGGTGGGAATCAATGCAACATAACAGACGACGGGCAACTCAATACGCTCTAAAGCTTCCGCCGTTAGAGAAAAAACTCGTCGAAAAGGTCAACAACAACGGCTTCTCGTTCATCTTCACCTCGTGGTACCGGAGACATTGCACCATGTGCATCGACTGCCAGTCCTTGCCCTTGCCACCACCCCTCCCGTGCTGCTTCACGTGTACTTCCGGTGGTCGATTGGCGGTCCTCCTGTCACTCTTCGGCCGACCTTTCCCTCCACGTCGCAACCTGTAGCTGCAGGTCCTTTTGCAAGGATGCGATTTGGAGCGAGACCTGGAATCATGCTTGTCTGCCGGTAGCTCGCCGACCTCCGCAGTAGCGTCCTTCGCAGGTGCTGGGATTCCGTCTGGGGATGTGGCGCCCGGGTCCAGGGAGGGGGTGACGTCATCTGCCGCCGCCCCCGCCGCCGTGTGCGACCCCCTCCGCCTGCCGATGCTCGTTGTCTTGCTGGCCCGTCTTTCGCGCTGCTGGTTGAGGATCCTGTGCGTGAAGAAAACGAAGGCTGGAGGTCAAACGCTCTGCGCGCGTGTGCAAAAGCATGCATCTACGTAGAGGGGGGAAGACAAAAAACGAGATCGACGGACTTGAGTACACAACTCGCCGGGCAAACGACCTGGGCTGCCGGCACAGAAATAGGAGGTACCTCGAAGTAACTGAGCGCTGCATGCGGGTGGAATGGCTCACTCGCTATCTTGCTTGATCACAGGCTCACACGGCCTCACGCCAAATGTATCAGTATCTGCTACGCCGTTGGCGTAGTTCTGCTACGCCGCCTTAGCAGACACATCGCCTCGAACACAACACGGCGGGGGGACCCAACGAGCACGTAGGAACGTTCAGGTGTACCGGTGATGATGCGTGACATCTGCAGCTAGAAACCCGCAGTCAGGTGACAGTGGGTTCACCTTGCGCTGCCCAATACCCGACGGCGAAGAGAGCGCCCTTTTGAAGGCGCTGCCGCCGTTGCTGCCGCCGCCGCCGCCGTCACCGCCGCCGTAGACCTCTCGCCACCGCCGATCTCTTCCCCCACCCCGGAGGGCTCTTCCACATCGACGTCGGAACCGTGTCCATTGTCCCACCCGTCTTCCGCGGTGCCGGTGGTACCGGAGGCGGTGGAAGAGTCGTCGACGTCTCCCAGGCTGTCAGACCTGCTGTAGCTCTGCGTGCTGGACTCCGCACTTCGGCGGCTGTGGTCGGCGTCCGCACCGCCGCCGCCGCTGGCGTAGGTGTTGGAGTCGATCACCTTCCAGCCCTGCGGCTGGAGCATCGGCGCTGCCGGCAACGCGGGAGGCGGAAAGGAAACACACAGATGGGATGAGCGCACGCAATGCACTTACACGGAACGCGCAAGCTCTCAATGACGATCGCTGAGTGCATCCAGTACCTCCAACGCGCTGCCGTTGTAAGCTTCTGAGAACTTTTCAAGCCTGCGTCTACGGACGGTGGTGCTTTCGAACGGTCCCCGCGCCTCTGCGCATCAAGTCGAATATCCCGCCCGCCGGGTAATTAGTTAGCAGCGGGAGGTACGGTCAACTCGGAAATGTACAATACATGCCGTGAACGCGAGGCTAAGGTATGTCGCACCAGACTGGACCTGAACACGCCTGTACAAGACCAGAGCGGCCTACCGTCGAACCTAATAAACCAAGGTTCCGGAACACCTCACGACGAGCTTTGACGTGACAAGGACAGACAGAGACAAGACGACGGAAAAACCGTCCGTGCAGTGGGGATTTGAATGCTCTCACCTTTGGAAGGAAACAGAGACCGCAGGCTGGAGGCCCGGGTTACGATCGCCGCCTGGGTCGACCGCAACAGCAGACACCACGAGAAAAAATTCAAGACTGAGAGTGCCCTAGCCTCACGTTACACTGATGGAGGCAATGGAGCAAATAAACTTCGCCGTACAAGTTTGTGATTGTACGATTAGGCATGTGTTCTCTCACCACAGAGATCTGCGATTCAACCGATCGATCACCCGGCGGTTGAACTGCTGCAGTAACTCTAACCTCGAATCTTTATTGCAGCGGCTATGCATATCATACGTCGGGAGGGCGAATCCCGGGGTGCGCTTGAGGAACGGAACCTCTCAATCAACTCTCAACTATTCTCTCTCGCGTTCGTGCGGCATGACGCATGAAGGCAGGCACGCATAGCATGTGGCCATGTCTGAAATTTGATGATTTTTTATTAAAAAATGAACTATTTCCCCGCCGAATTTCCCGCTTCCCACTTGCGAGCTAATGAGGGATGTTGCATGATCGCAACGTACGCCGAATGAATGCACCCGCGAGGGAGCAAGGTGTTATCATATGTACCCATCGGCCATTGGGTATGCCCCGCATATGTTTGTTGAGTCGGGACACTCGAAAGCGGGGAAAACTCCGTGAATCTCCCGCCAATTGCCGCACCGTATCGACCAAAATCCCGCTGCTCTCCGAAAGGAAAGACACCACAAAAATACACTGCAAGAACCCAAGTACCATCCTCTAGCTGCTGAAAACCTTGCAGAGCCGTGAAGCTACTTGCGCGGCGTTACACACGGCGTCAGAACGTGTGAGCATTTGCATACGATGACCAGATCATGTATTGTAATGGTGACAAATAACGACCGACCTCGTCGACCTGCCGAGGCCCAAACCACCACAACTACTGTACTACTGCTGTACAAGTAAACAAAACAAAAAATACCAAGGTACTGCTTGTTCATTTCAGATAGCATCTAGGAAACACCACATGTCCGCTCTACAAGCACCCAACTTTTCACGCGCAGAAGCCCCACCAACACCTTACACAATCCGACCGAGTCACACACCCCTAATCCCACTGCTGCCGGGCCTTCCTGCTGAGAGACTGACAGAATTCTACCTTCGGTTGGTGTGTGTGTAGGTCCGCCGGAGGAGGTTGGGAGTTGGCTCTATTGATGCCAAACCCTGCCTCCAGTACGCCCTCTTCAAGTTCTGGTTCCTGCCACAGCGCGAGCTGCATCCTCCTGGCAGCGGTGGGCGCGGGCGACAAGCGCGTGGGCGGCTCGGGCGTCCACGGCATGGCCTCATGCGCGTCGAAGAACTCGGTTCCCTCGGAGTCGGCAGACGAGTCTAGGGTGGTGGTCCTCATCGAGCTGCTGCTGTCTGGCATCGCTGCCGAGAAACCCGCTCGTATCGACAGCTCCGTCGTGTCCAGCATTTCCCCACGGTGATGCCCGCGGGTAGACGGAGGAACCCAAGGATGACAGGCAAGCTGCTACACCCTCTCCGCCGGAGCGTTGGGCGTGTTCTCCCTACAGGGCAGTAGATGCCGAAGTCTCCTGGTCGGCCCTTTTGTCGGTATCGCGGACTTGAACCGCTCTCTGAAACAGAACGATATAGGTTAAGAAATGGCCAGCCCCTATTTCTCACACGCAGACGGCTCCCTCCCGCAGCAACAGGCCTGTTAAATTATGGCGCTTCTAACCGCTGTATCAACACCTTCCAAGAGCCAACGCTGGCTCAGCGTTGTACGCGGTGCATGACGACCCAGACACTAACCAGTCTGCAGGTGCTCGCTCGCTCTGCTCCAGCTGTGCGGCGAGATAATGCGGAGCGTATGATCTCGAATGGGTAATGGGTTCTTTCTGTGTATGTTTTTTTTTCTTTCCTACTACTGTACTGTACACCCGCGAACCCCCCCCATGCTTAGGAGCGGTGGAACACACCACACAGCACAGCATGTGCTCGCAGAACCATCACAACCAGGAGAGAGAGAGAGAGAGAGAGAGAGACAGGAGGCACAGACAAACACAAGTCCGTGATTAATCTAAGCTGACCCTGATCGTTGAAGAGCTTACAGAAGGACGCAGGGCCTTTCACGCGATAAGAAGCTCCAGCTTTTGAACACACAAGTTTGAAATTGTGACAGACTGACTCTACGGGAGTACGCTACGCGGTAGCGACATGGATGTCGATCAGGTGGGATGGCCCGTTGCTTCTGCTGTGTCGAGTGCCGAGTGGGGGTTAGGCTGCAACCGTGAGCAGAGCAAGTAGCATGACAAGCGATGTCGGCGAAAGAGGGTCCGTCATGCATTTTGGTGGAGATGACTGCGTCGGTGTGGGTGCTATACTGCACTGGCTGTACAGGGCGACTTGCTGCTGCCGATTTTTGAATGCGACTGACTACAGCAAGCAGTCGCTGCATCGCTGCCGTCCCGGGCGATCACACAGCTAGACGGCAGTAGACTGCTGTGCTGCCCGTGTGTGGTACCACATACCTGGTGCAGGTCATGGATGCCCTATATTGTAGTTATTTTCATGTATTTTCATGTCAGTGCAAGCAAGTTGCATGCGACTACCGTTATGTATCGCACGCAGTGTCTACAGGAGACGCCTGTTGTTGTTCGTTGTTGTTTGTTGTTGTCTCTCACATTAGCTCTTTAGTCCACAAAATGGAGAGCCCGTGGTCGCAAAAACCTGGCACATACGACGCCGCGGGGATCCAAAGCAAAATGATATCATAGAAAGAAAAGAACAGCTACCTGTGTCTCTGGCACATGACGCTGCGTGCAGTGGTTGTTATCTCTGTCGTGTCTGCGTCTCGGCACACGTCAACTCGTGAGGTCGTGCTCCGCACGATCTTACTCTGATGGCCACAAGGCAGCGATTAGTAAAGCTCGTCCGCATGCTGGAGGCGGTTGCCATCATCGTCGACATCATCACATCGTCTGAGGCTCACCAAGCACCCAAACGCTCCGTAGAAACCGCCGTCTGTTTGGTGGTTCCATGGAATAGTCCAGTCTGCATCAACAAATCATCCAACACATATTGAACCGCACACAAAACACTTTTAATCAGGATAGTCGCACACACATTCGAGTATAATCTTCGTTGTCAGACACAGAATTATTTCTTCCCCACCACAAATGAAGTACTGTAACTGTACATCGCTTAGGTGGCAACATTGGCGGTGGTGTTGGTGCGTGTACCTTTTAAGTTGTTGACACGCAACCGGGCTCTCGTCGAGAGCGCCTTGTACCGCAGAAGAGGAATGCATCAAGTTCCATACCGAGCATCGAGATGAGCGAGTCACAAGACACGGGCGAGGCAAGCCGTTGGTGGTGTAGTGCATACTGCTATAGATCTATGAATAATTTATTTTAAAGAGGTGAGGATGTGAAACACACACAAGCATGATCCTGGGCTTACAAATAGGCAGAGGACCGAGGCGGCGATATGGCGGCATCGCTAATTTATTCAACCCGGCGCGGCAGAGCACTACACAAATGAGAAATTATGTCACCCTCGACGATTTCCCTGATGGCGGTCTCAGTCCAGGAGTAACGATTTGACCGCGGGAGGCTCTTGGTTGTGAAGCCAATCCAACGGGAAATGCTGTCAGTGTAGGCACGCGCCATCCCAGCAGAAGGGGGCGTGGAAGATGCTTGCTGCATGAAGCGGGCGGTGCATGTCTTGCTGCTGGCAGCAACGTTGCGCTCCTTTCCATGAACCTTGTTTTCTCTCCCCGACAAATGCAGCAGACGGCGACACGGGTTCGGCAGAGCATGGCCGGGCTCGGAGTCCACCTGCGGCTGGACTGGGTTAAGCACTGCCTCGAAGCAGGGGGGGGCATGGACCCTGGTGCAATCGGCAACGGCCAGCGACAGCAGTCAGAAGCACAAGAGGGGGTATATAGGACGTTTCTGGCCTGCGATCTCCGGGAGGCGGGGGAGGCGTGTCTGCCCGCCGGGGTCGGGGGCATGGTGAAGGAGCGGGTGAAGGGCAAGATGGTGGTGCAGGTACGCCAAGGTAGAATCTCTTCTTTGAGCCTCTAGAACTAGACCTGGGCTCGATGAGCCAAGTAGTTTACACCTGGGGACGACCAAGGCAATCTTTGTATCTCACTACTGCTGTCGCCCGGTTGTGGCCGCCATGAAGGTTTCGGCGCCCGTAAGCCGATACCTGCACGTTCAGAGGTCAACCTTACGGGATGTTTTCGCCTCGCCTTTACGTTCCCGCCCCGCGAGCCGTACATCGTCGCAGGGCTGGACGATGGGCCTTGCCTAGATGTCCATAGTGCTCTCCGTTTGCGCCGCAAACCCGTCGTGCGCGACGTGTATTGCCCTCCCTTGTCTGGGCCTTTCCCCCACCGTATCCATAGCACAACGACAGGACAGGCAACGCTGACCTCGGCAACGCCGTTCGTTCGTTCATTCGTTCGTTCGTTCGCTGCTCCATCAGGTAGAGAACGCCAGGGACATCGCGAAAAACTTGGAGCAAAGGGAGAAGGTGGACGGCTCGTCCGCCCACCACACTCTGAAGCTGGCCTTGGGGGACGGCAGGCAAACGGTTAGACATGGGGGATGATGATGAAGAAGGCAACCGCCTCGTTGGTTTCTTGTGATAATGTCCTTCGTATGATGGCGGTTTGTCAAGACATGCTCTCTCTGTGTCTGCTTGAGGATAGGTGTTTTCAAGGCTCCGACTTATGCAGATACCGTGAACAGCGAGGCGATCCCCCCCCCCGGGCCTAAAATTGACGGTTTTAATGCGCGCCCAGACTGGAGAATGCACACAGCTAGCTTTTGCCTCCCTCGTGTCTACACACAATGCATGAATTCACCTGCAGGCTTATTTGAAATGTCGCGTAAGCTTCTGGCGACAGCCCAATCGCCCCGCGTCATCCGCTCCAGTCTTGCGCTGCTTCTCTGAGCTTGAGGTGTACCGCTCCGGAGCCCTCAGTACTGCTATATACATACAGAGACTGCTGTCGGTCTTATTCTGTTTGTCATACCCCTGTCGTTGGTCTTGTCCTGGTTCCTTTGTTATGAGCCAACAGGTTGCGGCTTTCGAGTACAGGCGTGTTCAGGGGTTGGTGGCAGACCCTCCACTAGGCCTCAAGCTCCTCCTGGTGGAGCCATGGGTTAGAAGAGGCATCCTGCTTCTCTCTTCGGAAAACACCACCGTACTAGGCGGCGAGGTGTGAAAATGACAGGGGGGGGTACAGAAACAGCGTACCAGCGTGTCGTCGTCCTGGCATGAAATTCTTCGGAGGCGGTCCGGCGCAGCCTTAGGGGTCGTAGATCCGAGGCAACCGTTTGGTCTGCACTTGCCCATGGTGTGTCGAAAGGTGACGCAACATCACGTGCGTACAGGGAGCCTTTCGTCCAGTGTGAAGAAACGAAGCGTTGTTGCCCTACGTACGTTCTCACCCAAGTGCGACTCCAGAACTGAACAGCAGCGAGGTTGCGGTAGAACGACGCCCGCCCCCCTGCCTACACCCATTTGTTCGGCAGGCACGTTCCGCGTTCCGTGCGTAGCGCGTAGCCCAAGCAAGGCGAGGCACAAAAGCCGTCAGCACGAACACCCTTCTCCCCGTAAACTCTGTCGGTGCGTAGTAGTGGCTTGTTTTCAACTCGTGTTGTTTTGTGATAATTGTGTCGGACTGCCAGGTGTCTAGCCTCGTGGAGGCGAGAGAGACCGCTCGTGCTGGCGGCGCGCAGAGCACGGCAGGCGCTGCCACCAATGCCACGAACAACGACGACACTTTGGAGCCCCGCACAAGCCGAAATCAGCCCGGGGAGCCAGCCGGTCGAACCGCTACCGACTCCGGTGCTGCCGGCAACAGCGGCCCACGGGCACCCGCGCCACGGAACGCAACGAGAGCTCAGGCAGAGAATGGCGGCAGGCCGCGACCACCCCAGCCAGGAGGCAGTCACCGGCACGACGAGAACGCTGACCCTAGTGGCGTGGTGGACTTATCGTCGTCGTCGTCGTCGGGGGGCAACGCGGACACACCGTTATCATCCCAGGGCCGACGAGCCGCCGACACGGAAGGGCAGCAGCGGTCGAGGTCCGCCTCGGGGAAGGGGGGGGTCGTTGGTAGCAGCAGGCCGAGCGGGTCTGGCTCCGGTGTATTCAATCCGTACGCCGCCGCGACAGGGCCTGGTTCGACTCCTGCAAGGTCGGCGGCTGCTTCCACTGGAGTACGCGTCCTCAACCCCTATTCCGCCTCGACGCTCTCTGCTACTAGCTCAGCAGCAGAGACGGTCGGGACGGCGCGAAGCCAGAGTCCGCAGGGCGCAGCCCGGAGTAGAAGCTCTGGTTCAAGTGGCGGGCAGGGGAGACCACGAGGCGGAGAGGTAAGTGTCGGTGGAGAGAGCGGCTTTTTTGTCCTATATCCATCCTTGACCATACGGCCCCTCGTGCAGTACCAGCGGCGTGGGACGCACCAATGTTTTAACACCATACCCGTGATGGGCCTGCCAACACACCCGTCCCTGTCTTTCGTCACTTGCCTCTCTCCTTAACGCATGCCTGCTGTTCTTCGACATAGGATTGATCTACCCGAAACGAACCCATCCACCCATGTATCTCTCCATGCGCTCGCTCGTGTCAATCTGTTCGCAGACGCGGGTCCCCGCGTTCCAAGACTTGGAGGACGATGACGGACCGGGGTTCGAGTATCTGGAAGAACCAGACTTCGACGACGAGGAACATGACAACGAACCCCCAAAAGAGGCTGTCGCTGCTGCGAATGCTGCTGCTGTCCGAAACGGAAGAAACCCGGGGATGCGAAGCGATCCTCCCCGGGTTTCGACGTCGACCGGAAGTCCTTCTCCGACGGCGGCACCGGTAACCCCTCGACCGACGATCGTCTCGGCGAGGGTGCAGAAGGAGAAACTTAGACAAGAGCAGGAGGAGGAATCGCGGAAACGGAGGAGAGGGCGGGGCGAGGGCGGCGGTGGTGATGTCGGCGACGGGGAAGTCGCCGACATCGAGGGAGAGTTCGGCGGTGGAGGGAGGAGCCGAACTGGGCTGGAGGTTTCTTCGCGGAGTAAGCGCGGCCGGAGCAGCAGCGAAATCGGCAGCCGAGGTGAAAAAGAAGCGTTGCGAGCGAAAAGGATGCGGTAGATTCGCCGCGCCTTTACATTTGAAACGGCGGGGAAGGCGGGTGCTGTGCCTTCCTTGTGTCGCATCACAAGCACACGTAGGTTGGACTTTTTCTACTGGCGTAGTCGCAACTCAAGCGAGGCTTCGTCTCTCATCGACATTAATGGATCACTCAATGAGTCCCCAACTTTCTGCGTTACGCTGTCTCCACTAAACGCTGAATGGATAGTCTCGCACCCGACAACTTGGAACCGAACAACACCGCACCTACGGTAGTAGTGTATCGGCTTTGTTCTTGACCTCACTTGGCCTGTTTCAAACCGATGGCAGCAGGAGGCGGCCGTGAACGGAGCAACGGAACGAGGCCGTCTCCGCCTAGCGGCCCGTACACGTCTTTGGAGGACCTGGATCGGTTAGCCGCCGCGGGAGGTGGTATGTATCGCGTCAAGGCCGTCGTGTCTGACACAAAGAACTGCAAGATCCGCAAGAAGAAGTACCTGGTGAGTCTTAGGGATAAGTTAGGCAAGGTTGGGCGTTGTGTAGGTGTTGTCGTTCGGTGAAAGGCGTGTGCATCGAAGGTTGATTCATCGCGTGGAGCATTGTAGATAACAAATGTGGCTTGGCGGTAACGGTTGGGGGAGCTTATTCCGTTTTGGGTGATGACAGGGGGCCTCCAACATGGGCATGTGCCGCGTCTACCGTGGCCTACACCACTGTTTTAGGGTGCTCCCCGGAGGAACGCATTTGAAAGAAATAACGTATACCATGTTCTAGTGCAAGAATACCCAAGGAAATCGCAGCAACTAGCAGATGGCTTTCGGGAAGGTGCACCCGTGCGCGTCGAATTACTTGACCGGTGCGTGCTTTATCCGCGAACTTCGGTGCGACGTATTCACTGCTTCTTGCAGCAACATGGCCAGAGAGAGCTGCGTGTCTGTCAAGGTGGTGAGACCTTCGTCTGCGTCTAACCTTGGCTTGCCCTACAGTATCCGAAAAAAAAATGCCCCTTTTCATCAAGAGAACTTTAGTCTTGTACGATCCATGTTACCGTGCAAGGCGGCGGCGCGGTACGGAGCGTGTCAACGCCTCCTTGTCGTCTGCCACCCCACGGCTCTCCCGTGCCCTGCTGACCATACTCACGCCTGCCACGAACAACTTGGCGACGACGACAGCTTGTGGTCGAGATCGAAGACGGCACGGCTGTCGTCAGCGTTCGCCTCTCGGAGCAAATCACCAGGCGCCTATTCGGGGTGGAAGCACGGGAGTTCAAGAAGATCTTCCAGGCGGATCCCGAGAAGGCGATAAGCATCCAGGTACAGCAGTGGTCGTGGTGCCTGTTTAAGGCCGCACGATACTGCCGAGGGATTTGGCCGGCCAGCACCGGACACCCGGCATTCTTCAGAGTATGAGACAACTTGAGTTGTATTCTATGTGTTTCAAGCCACTTCACCGGCTTTATACTTTATTCAGGACATTCGTCCTATTTGGCGGCCTTATATCATACAGGCACCATCGCTGCTGAACGAGGGTTCCGCTGCATAATTCGGGTGATAACTCCTCTCCGTCTCTCCTTTTTTGCCGAAAATCACCAGACTCGTGTGGAGAAGGAAATCCGGGAGATGGAAGGCGTTATGGAAATCCAGACTTCCGCCGGGGCAACGTCCTCGCCATCCCCGGCAACACCCGGCGCCGCCATGAGCCAGAACTCTGCAACCGGTGACTCGGAGTGGGGTCTGCCCATGGTGGTGTCGGTGAAACCTCCGACTGACGGTGATTGCCTCGAGCTTCTCTCGCGCGTGACGTCATTGTTGTAGCCCTTTGTCGGGCCGGCCTGACTTCGCAACCGTGACCGGTTGTTGCTGCTGCCGCACGCCATGCGCATATGGTGTTGCTAGTGTCAGGTTTGAGGTCCACGTTAGTTAGTGGTTGGGGCTTGGGTTTGAGGTCCCCTTGAGCTGTGAGGAGGAGCTTCGAATGACTGGGTCTCCTGTTGATGCTGATCGCCTCAAGCTTCCCTCCAAACGTGGGTTGTTGCCGAGATGTGGGGTCGTGGGTTCAGACCATACAGTAAGTACCGTATGGAATGCTTTCGAAGCGAGTTTGGGAGGTGACGCTTGTAGATCGGGCCACGGATACGTTCGTTCCCATCAACCTTCAAGGCTTTGCCCACCAACCTCCAAGCCTTTGGGGATGGGGGGTCGTGCGGTGTGAAGTCGTGACCAACTTGCTCAAAAAAAATATGCAGGTTTTTCACCAAGATTTGTCTGCGATTCTGTGGATGAGGCCGGCGGGCGACAATTTCTTTGTAGTTCGAGAGAAATGTTGTCGAGCAGGGTTAAGGGTTTGTTGTGATGCGCCGTGCTATGCGTACTCTGTTGATGTCTGTCTCGGACGAGACAGAGAACGAGCTTTCCTCGCCGAAAGAACACAATTCAAAGGTGGAAGTGTCCACGTGTCCCCAGCGTCGGGCGTACTTTCTTCATGAGGGCGTGTGCACACGATGTGCATACTGCCCGTACTTGTGCTAACGCCACTCTATCTCGGGTTAGATAGGCGTCGCTCTCACGCCCCAAAAACAGGTACAACAGCCAGTGCTCGCTAAGAACCGCTTGTTTTGTGCGAGGATAGCGGCTTGCCGTTTCCCATGTACTCGAAGTAGTTGTTTTTCAGACAGAGTAGATTCAGCTGAGCAACCTCTGTTCGTCTTACGGTCAAGTTCTCGCATTCGTCTTATTTTGAGCCTGAGGACCCATGCTCTCCTAGGCCCTCATGTGGTGGCGCATACACTCAAGTACGGACCGGTGAAAGCCATCATACATATTCCAACCATGTTGCAGGCACCAAACACATCGCCACCGCCGTGTTACCGACTCTCTTGTTTGAAAGTAACAATGAGACAATAGGGATCGTTCTACGGTTCTCCCGGTTTCAAACGTTTCATTACCGCGCCTCTCAAGTGCACTCATGCACCCTGCAAGACCTTCAATCTTCCTGAAGATACACTGTTTCTGCTCGCTCCCTGACGTCAAGTCCCAACAAAAATCGACACGCATCTTCTCACCCCAGCCCATTCATTTGCGTCCTGATTTCTCAATTCTACCAAATTTTCCCCTTGCATCAACGACAACACGTATCCTCTCACCGATTTCTAGAGGGGGGGGCAGTTTCTTCTGTCCCATTGCCGGCCGCTCTAGTTAGCTACATTAACCCATTTCTAAATGAATCGCCTTGGCCAACAGGCAGCATCAACCGCAACAATACCGCTTTCTATTTTCACAAAACTTATCGCCGCCTACGGAGTTTTGAGGTAAACCAATCCCACGCTGGTGGATCGATAACTGGGGGGCGCTTTCCATGCACGCGGCCATGCTACCTTTCGACACCTGATTTCTTCACGACCTCTAATCTCTTGGTTGGCCGAACATGAATAGAAACAGCGCCGACACCAGGTGGACGAAAACAACATAAAAGACATGTACCATCTACCCCCATCATCCACTGTAAAGCTCAACAAAGAGTCCACGATGAATCAGTTCTCCCGGTCTATCACAACAAGCGGAATTTGGGCACGTCCTTCCTTCCCTGTTTTCGCCTTGCTGTAGTACCTCCGACCGATACTGCGAAACCACAACCACGAGGATGTTATCATAGGTCAACGCCACCAGAGTTGCGTTACTTGGGGCAAATGACACAGCCTTGCAACTTGCTGTGAACCTCGACATGTAGTCTTACTACGCTTGGTATAAAAAACATGTACTTCCAGGAGTAATGGGCGCTCTCTGAGCACGCTCAACAAGCCAAAATCCCCGATACATGCTCGGTACCCCACATCTCAGTAGGTACCCCACACCAATGGATGACTGGCTCAGCCACTAGGCTCCTACATAGCTCGGTCCAGCTCACGCCTTGATCTTCACGATGCGGCGAGATGCCGGCACCCTCCCTTGGCAGGCCTTGACGTTTCTTCCGTCGATATTGATCGAACACGTCGCGCAATCTCCTTGCTTGCAGCTGTACTTGACCTGTGGTTTGGTTGACGCGTGCAATCACATATTCTCAATCGTATGTACAAGTGCAGAAACTCCGACTTCAACGTGAACGAGGACAAGGATCGCTCAACCATTTTCGCGGAAAAAATGAAGGCGTGCACGATAGTGTGTGGTCCGCCTGGTACGCCCAAAGCACCCCAATAGGTGAAATCCCAGGCGTTCGGAGTAGGAATGAACCAAAAAAGTTGAAGAATGGACGAAGGTGTCCCCCCTCTAACCCCGTGTGCCTATTCGAAGTACCGCTCGTGGCATATCCATCTCAATCATACCGGCAGCACTTCTACAGCACTTTTATGCACAATGTTTGTATTCAGTATTGCAGGTTTGACATGAAACACGCAAGGGATTCTCAGGACGTTATCTACGATCACAATCGTGGCACAACATAGTTCCTGGGTTCCGCCTTGGCATGCGGTCGCGAAAAGCGTTATAGCCTGCATCCGGTTCTACCTTTTGACTTTTTCGTTATGCCACAATGGGCTTGCTCCTGCAGCGATTCCTACTTCGATGGAATTGGGTTGACGGCAGCGGGCGCACCGAAAACAGCCTCAAACGTACCGTTACCGAAATATAGGTTGTGCCTGGCAAATTAACCGGGCGAGAGTAATCGCTAGTTCGACGAAAAAGTAACGCATATGTGGGCCTCTCTCTTGAATGGCTTACCTTGATCCCGTTCTTGGCGCATAGTTGTGAAAGAGGCGAGCCCACGACGGCGTTCACCGTCTTCTTCGAGTTGGTGAACTCCACGACTACGTTTGCCTGCGATCATGACCCCAGCAACCGACCGGAAAAAAAAGCCAGGAAGAAACAAAGTCAATGCGTGAACTGATGCGGCAAACCTCACTATTCACGAGAGAGACAGATAGAAATGAATGCATGAAGTTAAACACGACAAAGTCGCTTCGTAGTAAGTTGGAGTGAGTGAGTGTTGAGGCGACTGCCTTTGCAAGCGCTCACGACGCCGCTATGTACCTGGCATGCCGAGAGAGTCCATAAAATTAGTGGATGCCGGACAAAGATGTTTCGGTAACGCACAAGGTTAAATACCTTTTGCAGCGATCCACACCCCCATCATCGAAAAAACTAAGTTATTGCGACAACAGCGGAGGGATTGCCAACAACTCTCATCTCATTTCTAATCTATCTTCAAGGCCATCTGGCTCGAAACTCTTGTTCCCCTCAACGCCACATTTTCCTCCTCCATCATCACGGTTATCCTTCGGTATTCTTTCCACATCCTTCGTTACCACCACCACCTTCCTTTTCGCCCGCCTCACGACTGAAATCCCAACCTATTGGCTGAAGTTGCTGTGGTGGACTTTTGGTCGATCGGTAAACCATGACATTTGAAGACGCCATGCGTAGTAACAGAACCCGAGCTATTACTTGTAGCTCGAAGGCAAACGAATCATGTTGGTGTGGAAGGCTTGAGGCAAAAACAGGCTGTGTGTGGTGTGTGAACCGGCACTATTGAGGGATTCGATAGTGCCTGCACCGGCACTATAGCGGGCATCCCTCCATAGTGCCGGTTGGGCACTATTCAGGCTGCCCTCCCATACATAAGGGTCCAACAAAATATATATATATATTTCGCGCGAAGCGCGAAAAGAAGGGTCGGAGAGAGACATCACAGCAAGCGTTAGATATGGATGGAGCCTACGCCACCATGTAGGTCACCAGTGCGCACCCTCACACCTCACCCGATACCACCAGTCAGTCAGGGGATGAATGGAAGAGCTGTTTAGCTCTCATCATCATCAGCTCAGCGGCAGCAGTGCTGCTGCTGCTGCTGCTGCTGCTTGCTGTTGTTGCTGCTGCCGCTGCTGCTGCTGTGCATGAGTGCGCACTAGCTTTCTTCGCTTTCGCTACTAGCAGAGGGCAACAGGCTCTGAAAATTGGGCCCGACCCCTCCCACGACGCGCGTATTTGGCCGCCCGTGGCTTACAGCGCTGTGTACGTCTCACTTGTCTCTGTTTCTGGGGTGCGTCTGTTGTGGAAGCAAAGATCGGCCGGCAGACGAAGAGACAGCAGACAGAGATCTGACTTGTATGCACTCGCATGTTCTCTCGCTTACGCTGCTAGCAGTAGGCCTCGGGGTCTAAAAATAGCTTCCGACGCCAGCCATTATGTGTGCCTTCGGCCGGCCTTGGCCTACAGCAGTGTGTAGGCCTCGTTTTCTCTGTTGTGGGGATGCGTCTGTGCGGGAAGCTCCAAAGATCAGTAGGTTGAGGGTGATGCAGACGGACCGCGGGTTGACTTGCGTCGTCACTCGCTTGTGCTGCCGACAGCAGGCAACGGGCCCCAAGAGTCCCACCCAACGCCTCCCATGATGTATGCCTTTGGCTGCCCTTGGCCTACAGCAGTCCGTATAATGCTGTGCTGGTTGTACCGTATGTTGTCTACGTGATGTGTATGGTGCTGCTGTGCGAGAGGATTTCAGTGATTCTGCCGAGAGCGTCGGGCCCATCGCCCAATCATCTGTCTCTGTCTTACAAAATTTCTTACAAACTCGACGGGTGATTGGTGGGAGTTAGGCATCTACCCGGCTCTACCCCTCTAAAACACAGATAATTGTTGGAAGTTCTTCCGTTTCTACAAAAAAATTGCCCTATTTATGGGTGCTCTGCCACTATTCAGGCCTGTGTCTGTGTCAAGAAAAATTGGGGGGAAAATTACGGGTAGTATACCGGACTTTGGCGCTATTCAACCGGCACTATACCGGGACACGTACTGTAGTTTATTTCATTTCCGCTGATGCGCTGGTGTATGCTTGAGTTGTCCCCTAAAATAGTTCTCAGGCAAGTCTAAGGCATCTTCTTAGGCACCGTAATGGCCCTCAGGCAGATCTAAAACAAGCATATATATACTCTCAGGCACAGCAGTCAGGCATGAGAGAAGGCAAAACAAGGCATCTGAGGGAGGCAAGAATAGTCCTCCGGCAAGTCTAAGGCATCTTCTCAGGTACGCCTCAGGCAACAAAAGGCACCAAAGGCAAGTGCTTTTACTTTATCCTTGCCCCAAAATGATCGCCTGCGGCGCTGCGCCCGAGGCGCGGCGAGCCTGAGGGGGCCAGGGCCTAAACGCACGCTAAACGCTAAACACACTGGCTAGTCTTGGACACGTCACCAGTCGTCATCAGCCCAGTCAACAAAACGAAACGGAAGACAGGATGCGTTGTATGCGACATACACTCCTGTGGTACCGCACGGTATTATCGGCCGGCAACTGACATGCAACCAACGACAGCGCCACACAGCAGCACCCGCAGACGAAGAATAGAGTAATCTGTACCAATGCTGGTGCAGGGGGAGCTCTATCTACACCTCCGCGACATGGAGTCATTTGAACCTACACGTTGTTGATGATGCGCATGTTTTCAGTCGTTCGAACGTTTTCTTCTCACTACTGTCTTCTGTCTTCCCGTATACGCACAGATTCAGTACTTCGAATAAGTCGCATGGATGAGTGAGGCCCGAGGTAAGTATCGCGCATCACGTAGGGAAAGAGGACAGCAACGCGAAGGTGCGTTAAGTCTCATACAACGTGCCACTCTGTCACTTACCATGTTGACCGCTGCTGCCCTGTGTCTTGTTGTTCCAGCAGCTGCTGCCCTTGTTGTTGGCAAAGCCGTCCCCACGAAACCTTCGCAATACTCCCGTGCCATGAGCACCACCAACAGCATAAGTGCTAAAAACTTCATACTCGGGTCAAGCAGCTGTACCAGGGGGCGGTATCGGGGCCTATTTGATTTGTCTCGATGGCACCTACTTACGTGTGCTGTCATCTCATCACCAAGCGTGTGACGTGTTTGGGGCCCTCTAGAGTGGAGTTGTGGTATTATACCCCCATTTCCTCCGCATCTCGCTGCTACGCCGTACGTATGATACCACAGCTGGCCTTGCTCAGGTTTGACATCATCACTGATCACGCACGTCGTTGCTTATCCCTGTCCAGCTATGGTGCGAGCTTTCCTCTCCTTCGCTGCCCTGCTTGCGGTTAGCACAGAATGCCTCGCATTCATGGGACCTTCGACTGCCTCCGTTCGGGCGCTCGGGTCAACTCAGGTGAAAAAAGATGACTCGATTTTCGCGCGACGTCTGCGTATGTATGCACATGTGTCCCGGCGAGCCCTTTGTCAGCAGGTCTTTGAGAGTTCTGCCACTCTTTTACCTATCCCAGCGGTCCAGAGACACAAGACCCGATCCTCTTCTGGGTCTCCACGGAGGACGAGGGAGCACAAGGGCGAAAGCCGTATCGGGAGGGACGATAGAGACGAGAAACTTCGTGTGTTGACATGTCTAGCCAAACGCCCACCTGGGCACAACGTCCGATCCAAGTGCATGTTGTTGTACGGGTGGGGGTGACATACGGGTGGGGGTGACATGTGTGTGTGGCGGGTACGACGAGATCTACCTCTGTTTACAAACCAATACGAGCCCGTCGGTGTCATTTTTTTGGGGGGGGGGGTGTCGACCTGGCGGGATCATGTTCTATTTTATTTTTTTTTCTTTGCCGCCAAGTTTGACCGACACTTTCCCAGGAAGCACGGCTGCATGCTACAAAAAGCACAGATTATTATTTATTTCCTTCCGCTTTGCGTACTCATGACCTCAACCACGCAGCAAAGAAATATTTCGGGCTGTCACAGATTGCGAGCAAACCGCTGCCAGCAGTGGGGAGGGGCTGCCTTGTAAGGGGGCGTGTTCCCACACACACGGCAACCTGTAGAGTACTGCTGCGGTTTGTGCATACTGCTGTGTGTACATTTCAGCCCGCTGCCTGCCATGGCTTCCCGACCGATCGCCCTTTTCTATGTCGTTCGTCCGTTGAGAGTAGGGGTGTATGCATAGGTATTCATTTTCGCAAGGGACAAGTGTGCACCGCGATTGTCTCTCAAGGTTGCTAAGAGCGGGTGGTACGGTAACGCTACGCGAAAGCGAATCAACCCCAAAATCAACAATCCCAACCACAGCAGTATCAAGCGTGAGATGATTTCATACCCTTTGGCCTTTGGCACACTAGACGGGTACAACCAGCTACTGAACCAAGCAAGACGCGCGCCTGTGAGCTCAGACCCAAACGAAAGAAAGGGTCAAAACATTTGGTTCGGAAAAGCCACCTGCGTTCTGCGCCTATTGCCAAGCAGCTTCGACTCGACCTACCCGCAAGACCTTCCTGATTTCATCCCCAACCCGGTCTATTTCCAATTTCACCCAATCATGTTCGTGTGCGTGAAGGGTCCATCGGGTTCGACCTCCGCCGTCTCCCGCCAGCCCTCGAGGGGCATGCTTAGCATGGCCAGCAAGAAGGACGAAGAGGCCGCACGGCAGCTGTCCAACATGGCGCGTGCTGCCCGGAAGGTCGGACCCAACGACCGAGTGGTGGAGCTCAGGAAGGTGAGAACATGATGATGCGGCGGAAGCCCGTGTTGTTGAATTGTGCGAACCGCAGCCGTAAATTGCTCAGGGCACGTTGGTGTCCCAACAAAGGTTACATCGTTCTGCAGCCCCACGTTAGCTACGAAGCAACGGCGGTGATATACCTCCTGCGTTTATGAGCACCTTCGTTTACGACTATAGCTTGTTCTAAAAGGTACCTACGACTATAGCATATTGACGCGGTGCAATTCATTTTTGGCACACCCGCAAGTGTTGGTCCTGTCGTGCGTTGGTGTGCTTTGTGTTTCGTGTTGTTGTTGTTGCTGCTAAAATGTCTGTTGAGAATGTGTCCGCCCATACAGATGCTTTTGTTCTTAGCACCAAGTGGCATCACTGATAACTCAGTGTAAGGCTTACACAAACTCAAAATACGCCCAGTCTCCAGTCGGTTTCAATCCACTTACTGAAAAGACTTGACCACATCCCTTTCGACTGAGGTTATATCTCGAACGGGTAGTCTTTCTGTGAGGTAATGTTTACTTTCTAAAAAATGTCTGCACTTCATATGTTTGCCGCAATTTGCACTGTTCTCGCCGACTACTGTTTTTGCCATTCGTCGCGTGTCGCTGCTGCCTTAACACTGCCGTCTGCTGTCGTCGTTTCTGACTCTTGCTGGTGTCGATATCGATGCGGTGGGATCGGTATTCTAGCCGATGGGACTCGTTCTCGAGGAGGATGAGCGAGGAAACGTGTACATTGTGGAGATTGTCCCCGGAAGCAACGCCTCGAGAAAGAAGCAGATCAACGTGAGATTCTCTTGCCCGACCTCAATAACAACCCTTTCGACATCGCTGGTGGTATGCATGTGCAAATCGTGGCGGCGATGGTTCTTTTGGTGTCTCGGTGTGGGGAATTAAGATGGTGTGCCCCCGCGTGCTCTGCGCGCCAGTGTTCATGCTAGAATTTCGTGTACATACTAACGCGAGCGTTTGGCGGTTTTCTTTGGTCTCAAGACAGACGCACGTGTCTCGCGCACCCCCACCTTAGGGCATCTCAATCAAAAGCATTTCTATTATTATAGTGTTTCACAGCAGCCCTTGCCGACACGTCGGCAAACCTTCACCCCTGGCGTATGTATCCATCCCCCTGGGCGATGATGTGCTGTCGTTGCATTGCAGGTCGGAGACAAGATCACCTTCGTTTCCGCGACCTTCGGAGAGGAGATCTGGAGCGCGCAGGGCGTCGGGCTGAGCCGCGTGCAGTCGGCCATCAGGGTGGGCGAGCGTGTCTTTAATATTCGCCGTGCCTAGCTCGCCCGATGTGCTTGTCGATTTTGTGCCTTGAAACGAAGCATTGTACGTTCAGTCCCATGAAATGATGACAAAAACGGATGATTGGGATGATCAGCCGGGAGGCAAAGGATTTTGGAACAAGTTGGAACTTTCTGGTTGGCATACAGGGTGGGTTTGTTTCAGGTTCCCGGATGTGATGAGATGGGGAAACGGCACTCCGGCATCTGTACTGCTGCATGTTGTATACAATGAGGCAGCGGGAGATGTCGTAAATACCTTGCTGGCGAACGAAAATGTTGTGTGGTGGTGCGGCCACCGTCTGTCAACAGTGTGACGCCATTGGGGAGGCTGCCACTGTCAATCTGTACAAGTTCGGCCTTTTGCACGCTGTGCCGTCTCTGGATTCTCCCCGGCATGGACCTTTCTGCGGGACCCCCACGTTCATTCTGCACCACCCCCAATTTGATTTCGACTTGATACCTATGACGTAGATTCGGAGTGGGCCGACGGTGAAGCTTGTCCTGGAAACCTCGAAAGAGGCCGAGAAGAAGATGGCACGAGACTCGGCCAGATTGAAGAGGCTCCAGGACGCCAAGGTGCGCACCATGTCAACGAACCGTGGCATGTACCGTGGAATTTACCGTGGAATTCACCGTTGCTAACCGTGAGACGGTGGTACCTCGAAGGTTTCGTGCTGTTTGTGCAAACGCCGGGGTTCGCCCAAGGTGAATTCGTGTATTTGTTGCTGCCCCTTCCCCCTCCTCCTTGTCTAGTGAGCAATATCCGAGTCGCCCATCCGTCACGGCACACACGAAAGAAACGTGATTTTGACGTTTTACCCGAACCGCGGCGAGCGCAAGAGATCAAAGGGGTTGGTTGCTGAAAGGTGACTCCAACAAGACCAACTCAAAATATGTAGTTGCGGCAGCAACAACGAACAACAGCAGCAATTCATCTCCTCCTCTCTGCTGTACTTGCATTGGGTATTTTGTCCGTTTGTTGCGTCTAGGAAACCGAGGAAGACAAGAGGGACCGCCTGCTGAGAGAGCTGTCGGACGACACCAAGGTCCAAAAGAAGAAGCCGTGGTACGGCCTGTTCTAGTGAGCCACGGACAGGGAAGGAAGGAAGGAAGGCCCTTCGTTGTGGTAACAACGACGACCTGGGATTCTCTCGAAGCACGGGAGGATTGGCATCGTACAGGTCTCCTCTCTCCCAATCCCGCGCGTGTTTTTGTTGCGTGTGTCATGGGGTGGCACGGGAGAGGGGCGGAGGGCATTTAGCTGTCCTGCTGAAGATGGGCCTCGTTTCTCATTCCCAACCTCGTACGCATATCATCGTATCATTCGGTGGATGTGTTGCGCTTGAAAGCCCATTTCGCGGAGGAATCTGCTGTTTTTTTAGGTCGCAAGCTCGGGGTTAGTCTAGTCCGCCCCACCGCAATCCTTGGTAATTGACCGGTGTTTGTGGAAATCGAGCCGTGTCGACTGATCCCGTTTGTTTTGTTTAGGCAATGACTTAGAAATATTCGCTCTTGCCCGGTGGCCATGTGTGCTTTGAATAAGTTTGCTGGTAATATTTTAGGGCGAAGAGAGGAAAGTTGGGTCCCCTTCGTTCGGGCGAGTTTTCTTGTGTTTCGAAGTAGTTCAGGCCCTACGAGAGCGCCGCCTCCCTCCAGCGATAATGCCGAGGGCGCGGTTTTTTGTTCTCTGGCATACCTGAAGGTTGACTGGCATGTTTGATATTCGGGAGCCGACGTGGGTTTGTACACACCTCCCTCTTCGATGTCTCTTCGAGACGCGGGGAAGGCAGAGTTGGCACGTTCTCATGGGTTGGCTGCCCTGTGCTGTGGTGAAACCATGGTTGGTTGGCCTTCTGAGGGGGGCATCCTTGTCCCGTTGAAAACGTAGAAAAGAAGACACAGATAGGCTACATTGAAGTCAAGCAGGACTTGTGATAGTTTAGACTGCGTTGAGGTCAAGTATAGTCCTTGTAGTTGGCACACATGGGCATGATTTCTTCCCAACGAAGCAAATTATTTGCAGGAGAGGCGAAATATTGTATGGCGCCAGATAGAGAGTAGAGAGGTGCACGGGCGGCGCTGGAATTATAGTGCGTACCATCGCGGCAAAGAGGTCTGTGCTGTTCTTGATGGAAAACGATAGGGGGAAAGGAAGGTATAGAGTCTGACTGAACAGTCAAGAGAACCGTCTTTGGACCAACCGCTTCCTTGATTTAATAACGCCCTGTTGTTCCGGATCTTTGAAAAGGATGTGCCTAAGAAACACTACTCACTAACGTGTATCATGCCTTGTGTTGATGCTCACACATATATATGCATACCCCTCTATGTACGGTGGTGTCACACGTGACTGTTGCGTGTCAGTAGCTCCTCCAACGCGCCCAAAACCGATGGAAGCCGGTTCTTTGGGAAAAAGCGGGTGTGGTCTACACCGGAGCCGTAACCGATTGGTTGTCGAAACAAAAGGGAACGTGGTTTTCCACTACTGTTCAGTTGTATTGTACCATACGCACTTTGCTTGTGGCAGACTTCAAGGTCGAGGAAGAGAAATAACTCAGTGCTGCGCCTGCAAGCGATGCCCACAAGGTGGGAAGGTTCACTACGCTGATCGCTGTTGTCGCGAAAAGCTGCAGCACCGTGTCGATGGCTAAGCCAGCCCCGAGCCTCGGCGCCCACTTCCGCAGCGGCCCACAAGACTTGCAAGAAAAAAACATGCACATACATTGCTCAAATGCAGAACACAAAATCCCTTCCTGGCGCAACCGGCCGTCTACTGTTTGCTGCCTGTCTTAGGGTGTATATGGACACCGCATTCTTGAACCGAAACCACGCTGCTCCCACCCGAAACCATGTGTTGCTAGTGGTGCGGGTGGACAGAGTGAGCATGGCGGTCGAAAATTGCAACAAGGTTGTGCGAGGATGGTCCAAAACGAGTAGCCCGGGGCGTGTCTAGCACCATTTGATACTGTTCTAGGATCTCTATCTATTATTTGTCACATCAGACGCCTCTCGTGTGGAGCAAACGTAACCAACGCTCAAACACGCGCATCGCACCACAACCGCCCCTTACGTGTATCTATAACAATTTTTTTATTACAACAGATGTGCGATACTTCACCAGTCAAACTTGATCTTACACCTCCACATTTTTCGTCTCTCGCAATCCCACACGCCGACTCCGTATCCGCTGCAAGACACGCGACAGAGCACACGAACTATGAGCTATGACGCCGAGGAAACGGCATGTCGGGACGATCAATCAATGTGCAGAAGCTGCCACGGGCTCCAGAACTTGGGCCTGAAAAAATCCTCGCTCGTCGTCGAGCTTCAAGCCCGGGTACCTTCGCTCAAGGTTGTCAACCTTAAGGAGCTGCTTTCTCAGAAACTTCTGGTGAGCATCGCTCTTGGGATTGAAGGGTCGGTGCTCCGTCCCCTGCACGACCTTCTGGACCTGGTGAAGGGTTGATGAGACGTTAGCGAAAGGAGAGGCGCGAGTCGTTGGGGTCGTCTCGAGCGAAGCGAAGACAGAGTGCGGTTCCGTATTTTGAAGAGAGAGAGAGGCCTCCTTAGGGCATGCATTTCCGCGGGGGGGGGGGGGGGCCCCATGTTTGTGTGACACGTGGTGCGCAGCTAGAATAGCACTGCGACGAGCAAACGCTGGCTGTATTTGTGGGTTATATGAAGACCGGAACAATCATGTTAGTCACCGTGTGCAACACCGTATAGAGTGCCTGGGACGGCAATACCATACAGATCGCGCTATCACTCAAGAGCTTCGTATCCGTTCAGAAGTTGGGGACTTGAGGATTTTTCGAACAAAAGAACCTGAACCAGATCATATGCTAATCCCATCCTCTCTCTCTTGGTTTCCGGGCGGAAGATATAAGGAGCGAGCCTCAGGAAAAACAAGAGGTTACTATGTAAGCTGTGGCAATTGCTGCACTCCAGAAGTCCCGTGAAGAAGAGAACACTGGACCAAGCTAGGCTTGGGTCCAGCACCGAACAGGCCTCGCGGAACACCGCTACCGTACCGCAGCGTGTCAAGCGAACACTTGCGGGTGCCCGAAAAAAAGTTTTCACGGAGAGCGTACCAAACCCAACGACGAGATAGTGAAAGGAAAGTAACGGTTGCGGTGAACATATTATTTGGGCGGGCATCCCTCCGATCACAATACTGCTCGAGACACACTTCTTGTTGTTCGCACGTTCGAAAGAGAGGGCGCAGGGCCTTGTGGGAGAAATAACCGTTGCGCGCCGAATGCCGAAAAGGAAGGGAAAGCACGTCGGTGACGGCAGCTGTCCAGTCCAACCTTGAGAGGCCCTCACCTCCTGCATGGTCCGCATGGCATCGTCCGAAAACATCGCCCCCGTGAGCTTGTCCCAGATGTAGTCCACTGCCACGCCGCTGGGGTGGATCATATCCGACTCGAAGAACCGGTAATCCCTCAAATCATCATTGACGATCTCGTAGCTCGGGAAGTAGGCGACTCGTCCGGGGCCTCCGTCCCCTTCCCCTTCCCCGACGCCTGCCGCACGCAACGAATCGATCGCGGCGTGCGCTCCGGCCAACAGATGCGCCTTGCTCCTGCTGTTCTCGACCGCCCCGTCTCGCCAGTGGCGCACCGGGCTTACTGTTAGCAACACGCGCGCGTTCGGGTTTGCGCGAAGCATGTTGGACAGCGCGCGGTGCAGGGCCTGGGCGATCTCGTCCACGGAGACGATACGACGGTCGAATTGATACCCGGGGAGCTTGTGGCAGTTGGCGACATCTTTGCCTGACTGTTGAGGAGCAATGAGGGAGGGATGCGGGCGAGAGAATCGGTGGATGTTGACATACACATGTATTTCGCCTGATCAGGTTGGTCTCTTGCTTTCATAGCTTGATGCTTCGCGACTGGAAGATCCTGGTTCCCTCCGCAGGATGGGTCTCCTAACCGTCTTCGTCGTATGCGTACGTACTATAGACGACGGCTAGATGTGGGTTCAAATCAAATAATACGGGGGGGTGATTCAAGGATGCTTAGCCAAGATAGCAGTAGTAGAACGCCGTGTTCAACTCTTGAGCGCCTCACACGTATCTTACAGTATATCAGCACGCATACCTCGCGATGCCGGAAAACCCACGCCGTTCCGAGAGTGATGAAGATACAGCTAGCCGACAGGAGGTCTTCTCGACCCTTTGCCAAGGCCGCGTTCATCCCGCGTAGGCAGTCCTTCCTTGAATGTGTTGTCGTCAGGGTGGGCAGGAACGGAATTGATGGAGAGTTTTGGGTATGGTGGTATCTGTGCACAAACCATGCCACAAGGTAGTTGCGGTGTCAACCACCGGGCCTCCTACTGCTGTTGCGGTGGCCTTCAGCGAAACATGCTATTTTGGATACGTCGACCATCACATCAAAAGCTTTTGTTGTTGTTGTTGTTGTTGTTGTTGTTCTTGTGGTGGTGGTGGTGGTTGTCTTCACGTTGATTGCCGCATGTTCCGGCCTCTGCATAGACTATACATAATTTGTACAGTTCCAGTGGCGTTATATTGGTGCAAAGCACCGCGCACTTCTACCATCCCGTTTCTCATGAACGTCACCTCGAAGTCGACGAGAAACAGCTGTGATGCTCCAGGCTAGACCACAACCCCTTGCCCTCGCTGAACACTAGCACCCCTTCGGCATCCTCCTCGTAGGGAACTCCGGACACCATCCTGTCCAAGGCCGCTGCTGCCGACAGCGGGCTGAAAAGGAGTCCTGCACGTCGACGAGCAATGGTGCCGCGAAGGGCCACAACAGCAGCATGAGGCAGCAGAGTATACGAGCAGCGCAGAACAAGCATATCTCTCAATGGTGTGGGTCCTCTTTGCTACCCACAGTGTGGGTAGCAAAGAGGCTCCATGCTTACGTGCAACACATGAGGGTACGGTAGTGCCAGTTGCATCAAGTCACTTGAAATACAGCACATGCGTACCATCCGTTGCGTATACTTTTTTGCGTTCCGGCAGCACCCAAACTCGTGAATGTGCTGTACTGCTATACAACTACAGCAGTGTTTTCTGCCGGAGAGTTGTGTGTGCCACCATCCGGCTTCTGTGGTATCTTATCTCGATGTGGGCCTGCCTCCCACTGCAATACTGACTCACCATGCGAGGGGTTGATCGAAGTTTGGAACTTCGCGTTGGACAGCCGCGTTCCAATGTTATCGCTAAAGCATGACCCCAGTAGCAAGAAAGAGTCTGCATAGCCCAGTTGAGAATGCTGCGGCCACGTGGGGATGTGAACCTCCGTTCTGAACGAGATGCTGTCCATCGTGCATCGTCTCGTTAGCGGTGCTGTAGCTGGCCTGGTGTCCAGGTTCAATTTGAACCCAATGGCAAGGTTGGCGAGAAGTACTGCATCTGCTAGCAGCAAGAGAGCACATCTCTTGGACAATATGGACATCGATCAATGTGGCTTCGGGTGTAGGGCCGTACCCGCAGCACGGCCTCAAATGCGATGGTGCCAGTGTGCCAGAGTGTTCAATGCTCTTGTTGCAGAAAATGCGCGCTTACACCTGAAAAGGGAGTTCCACCGCCCACTTGGTTCGGGAGGCGTAATGAGGGGCGGGGGTGGGATTCCTGACTTTCACGGGAGATCGCCGGCAAGGGCGACAAATGAGGCAGCGGGCACATGTGGGGCGGGGTCAGGGCGCGTGCAAGAGTGGCATGTAGTACTCTTGTGCTGCTGTACACATGGTTTCCCCTCCCCTTCCTGTCGAGCTGCTTTTTATTTGATCGAGACGCACACGAGACCGAACTAAAAATCGCCAAGAATTCATCATGACGAGTGAGAAGAGAACTACATGCGCGCGGGCGCACGATCGCCACGCTTGGGCGCAACAAAAGAAATACATTGTTCATTTTGATGGTGAAGATTGCATGGAGTGAAACCAAAATTTTGGCGTGTTGCCGTTGGAGACTCAGCTGAGGAAATTGAATGATGCCGTGCGTTTTTCGTCCCACTAACTAACCGCGTGTTGTCTGGGCGCCATCGGTCTACTGCCGTACACACCGACGTTACCAGCTGGGGTCACACACGAAGACAGAAGTTTGTTGTCCTCCCTGCGGTATATGCCTTCAACAACTGACGCGAACAAGGGTCTGCAGTCCCTGTTCCCTCTTGATCGTGTGGACTCGAGACCATGCGCTGGAGATATTCGAACCCGTAACCTAGAGAGCCAAGGTCTACAAAGTTACCAACCGAACAACGTGCCATTCGGTGCTTCTGTGTGTATGACCGAGCTCTTTGATTGGAACATGTACGAAAAAAAACTGTTTCGATTGGTCACCCTGAGAGAGAACAACACCATATGCACACGCACGAAAAATCGCTCGCGTAAACAAACCTCTCAACCCCCTCGTGCATCCCCCAAAAGCTCTTACCCATCCTACCATCCATCCATGCAAATCGTATGCAAGGAAGACTCGCTCGCGTAAACAAACCTCGCTACCCACACACACATGCCTAGGTAACAAGGTTGTTTTTAAATTTACCCATCCTACCACCGCAATGTCTCACTAAAGTACACGCAATATACAGAAGAAAGCGAATGCTCAATGCATACGGAAAAACAAGGACTCGAGGCTGCGCCATTATGACCATGTACTGCTGCAGTCCAAGCTGAGGGTCGGTCATGAGCAATCGTGGGCTTCAGGCATAGGCTGCACCTGAATCCGGAAACGAAAGAGGGAGAGGTGAGAAAGGAAAGATAATTAAAAAAAGGAGAGAAAAATGAAGCAAAAAGGGGGGACCGACACAATATCCACCTAATGTCTTACCAACAACAACAAAGGAGCAGCAACTAACTTCGCCGCAAACAACCGATAACAGGAAAAGTATGAAAAGAGACAAAGCACTACAACAACAGTTGCAACAAAACGTGGAGATGAGGTAAACAAGCGGCAAGCAGAATAAAACAACAAACGCAGGAGGGCCGGCACCGCACACGTTCATGCAGAACGCACGCGACACACACAACAATGCACTCACTTCGCTCTTCGGTCCCTGGGGGCTTCTTGCTCTTTCGAAGTTTGCTCCCGTCCCTTCTCTTGCTTCTTCTGGCGGGCGCCGATCGGCCACGATGCTCCGTACTACCGGATGCTCGACCCTAGGAGGCTGCGCCACCACCTGGAACGGATTGTCCCCGTTTCATGTACCTTCAAGGCCACGAGAGAGGTGTGGGGCGGTAAGGACAAGCCGACGGAGTCCATCCTACCTGACGAGGATTGCGGAGAATCGGGAGTCTCCGAATGGCTGCAATCCGCGTGAGGTAGGTCGGACTCATTCGGCTTGTCCCTGAAACCGCGCATGCTCTCGTGGTCTTGAAGGTACACGACACGGGGCATCCCGCTCCAGAAGTTAACTCCTCCCGTCAGGTCGAGCATCCGGTAGTATGGCGCTTCGAGACCGATCGATCGGCGCCCGGCAGAAGAAAGGACCGGCGAATCTCTTCTTACCCGTCTCGCTGGCTGTCGCCTGGCTTCGCCGCCGAGAGGGACACGCTCGCTTGCTTGACGATTGATGCAGCCGTTTGACGTCAACACAAATAGGGAATGCAAGTACGGTTTGGTTGGTGAATTCCCGCATGTGGGTACATATTCGTGACGACTAAATATACGCAAGAGACACAGCAGTGAGCCACTCAAAGTGTTGGATACCTACCCGCGTTTGAGGGTGGTTTCTTCTCTGTCCGCACGCGTGACAACAGGCGAGTGGTGACTACGGGAGGGGCACGATAGCCTGACAGATAGCTGATGTAGCTCGGCTGATGTGGGGTATCAAATGGCAAGTGTGCACAAACTCCTGCGTGTCGGTTTTGTGGCGGCAGAAACGACGGAAGAGACAGAGTCAATCATTCAAAATACCACGATTTTAAGAAACATCCATTTACCAAGATATCTGTCAGTTGACTCCTACCCTAATCGGTACGCCTTCACAACGACACATGTCGCGGTTGACTTCGCGTCGCGTGACTGCACGCGAGAGATGACTACAGGCGAGCCCATCATCTGCACGTGGTCTACAGCTGGCCGTCACCAGGAAACATAAAAACATCAACCTACAAGTTCTCACCTTGTACCCGCTGGCACAAATCGCGTGTGTGTGCAACAGTAACTGACTCCGGCGGCTGCTGTTTTGTTGTTGTCCCGCGGGCGATGTTCCGTAGGGGACATTCAAAAAGGGTAGCGCGGCTGCAGGAGCAGTAGAAGCCGTTCTGCACGATGGGTGTCGAGAGTGAGTGTAGGAAACGACAGGCCAACCAACCCCATCCCACGTGCAAAGCAAGCAACAACAAACAAGAATCTTCTAGCCAAACCGCAACAAGCGACAGCAACACACTGACTGTGCTGCTCAAGTAACGAGAGATCGTCACGGCTGTTTCATGCCTCTTGTAACAGGAATTTTAAGTCACCACCACCCTACCACGTCAGCCTTCACGGGGCATCGCGCAAAGGTTGCCATGACGAAGGGCGTTCCACACAAAGAATGCAACCATGTAAGCGTCCTATTACAGAACACGGACCTGCCCGTGGTTGTAGCATGAGATGCCGTATCGCGTACAAGCATGATCGTCCGGGAGCCGTCCATGGCCAACGACAGACTCAGAGCTGTTTCGGCCAACAACGACTAGCACTCTAGAGCATCGACTACAGCAGTCTACGCTCTCTACTTCCACTATCAGATGGGCTCATATGCGGTTTTCGGGGAGTTAGCCACTACAAAGTTGCCTTAGCCTCGAAAGTGGTAATCATCGCCCTCGCTTGTTCCGGATTCGCGCGCGCAAAAAAAAAAACGCCGTTCACATCGGGGCAAAGCAACGTCCAGACCAGGCCAGCTCAAACAAAAGCGGGAACGAATGGGAGAGAGATGAATGTTCGCTCCGAATATTGAACCTTCAAGATATTATCGTCATCACCACCCCGCGAGGAAAGTATGTGCGAGAGCAGTTAGAAGCGGCCTTAATGGTTCGTCATGGCAAACTCTCGGACTCATTCATGGGTTCCCTAACTCGTGCGCAAGTTGGCTCGGTCGAAAGAGGCTTCACACCCAACGGCAACTTCACAACCGCACAGCAAATTTCACGCCGCAGGGTCTCGATTCGTCATTTTTAGGAATGACTGGGTGGCGGTCCAAGATTACAGACACCCCCCGAAAAACACAGAGACTACACGGCTTCGCTTCAAATCGAGAGAGAAGGATGTAAGGAAACGGTCCGTGGCTGCACACCACAAGCTACCTACAATCTAATGTCAGGACATGCCGGTACCGCACAGCAGCTCCATCATCGCGACAAACCCGTGATCCGGGCAGATTTTCCATCCCCTTCCCTCTCCGCATTCCATCTCCCGCACTTTCGCTAGGTCCCTTCTCGCCAGCAAGGTCATCTTCACTCCGAGTCCAGAGGTGCCCTTGTCACACATCACCACACACTTTTTTTATGAGTGAAGTTGTGATCGGGCCGTCTCTGGTACAGGTCAGATTTGGCTAATCTGCGGCATGCACGAGTACTCCGAATAGAGAGTTACGGTGGTTTGGATGGGGAAGGATCTGGCTGCCACGGTGGGTAGTATTCAGGTGCCTGACTGATGCACCGGGCACGAACCACCAACCAACGCCGCGCCAGATCTCTTGGGGCTCCGCGGAATTCTCACCCCATACCCGGGACTGTTATGTATTTCGCCGCGTCCGGTGCAGCCGAAGCGCGACCCGAACCTGAACCTCTGCTCCTACTGCTGTATTCCTGTCCTGCTGTGGACCACCTCTCGCCCCCCCGCTGCCCCTCTGCTGCTTATCTACCACGGTGCAAGCGTACATACCCCCCCCGCACTTTCAGTGAGTCCTTATGTTATCTTCATATGTAGCACATGTTGTTTCCAACAACTGGTACAACAAATGTGCTCAACACATCGAACACAACAGACCTCAGACCTCATGAAAATATCGATACCTACGCAGACAAGCGTGGTTCGTCTGTAGCAGACAGCAGCAGACAGAGACAAATGCTCACAAAGTAAGGCTAATATCACTCGTTCTCCCCCTATGAGTTTCCTGACTGTTATTTGTTCCCACCTACCGCGCCTTCGTTCACATCTCCCTTACGGCCGCAGTTGAAGACGGATTTAGTTCTTCGTGATGTCTGCCCCAACGGATCCCCTGGCGTTCCCCGCCTCGGCCGGCCCGACCGCCCAGAAGGACGCACCACCCTTGTCCGTTCCCACGTTTGACGTTACAGGTACGTTTTATTTGGTAGATGCAAACACTCTCTCACCTTCCGGATGGCAATTCGACACAGTCGCTCATTTGTGCAATTCTGGCAAGTTGGGAGAAAAAACCGGGGGACACCTCGCTCTACGGACTAGACTACGCGGACTGGCTCTATGTATCGTCCGCATGCAGCATCCAGCAAGCACGAGCAGTGGAGCTTGTTCAAGTAACTGCCGCAACTTCGGGTCGTTGTGCCTCATCATGTGGGGTTTTTGGTAGCAATGCTGTGGGGAAATAAATGCCTTCGCCCCATCACCGGACGGACGTGAGGCATGATGTTAGAGTATTGTGGGGTTGTACGGTTGTAATGATGACGGGCGTACATTGTTGTGTGTTGGCTGTTTCTCTGTCTCTGTCTTGATATCTCGGTGTGTTTCTCTCCCGTAACTGAGGCACGGTTGGGACCTTCGCACACGACACTGCTGGCGGCTATGTAGTGCAACCGGAACTAATCCTCAGAGAAGCCAAAGCGCCCGGCCTAAAAACGTTGGATTTTGAATGAAGCCGATAAAAGAGCCATGTCCCAGAGCGAGCAAGACGTGTCTGAACAGAAGCAGCAGTGCGACTCTCTGATCTACATGTAGGCTTCCACATCTTAATATTTCTGCTTCGTGTCCTGCCGTGTCCTACACGCCCTGCCTCGTGGTTTGTGCTACCTGGAGCAGGAAAAATGTTCGTGGTTACCGGAGGCACTCAAGGAATGGGCCTCGTAATCTCAGCCTGGTATGAACCTTGCCGTGTGCGTAGCAATCATACTATTGGGTCCCATGTGACAGTCCGTCGGTAGCGCCGCCACAACGACTGTGTACAACACGCCGGCACCCTATTTCGCATTGGAAACTCTGTAGGAAGGATGAGAGAGACGCTACAGGTTGAAGGCAAGTGAGAACCGGGAGAGGGCGTACAGAGTGGATGATAGAGGATAACGCTACTAGTTTCGAGATAGCAAGCTGTTTCAATTCGGTGGTGGCCGTTCTGAAAATAATTCATACACATATGTTGCTTGTGTACCAGCCCTCATTCTTCTTGCAGAGCTGGAGCATTGGCTAGGCCGCACGAGCAACCTATGAACGAGGCCTCGAAACCTCAAGCCCTTGCTGTTTCATCGCCACGGCAAGCTTCCTCATTCGTTGAAGACACCAACTGATGCGTGCGCCCTCTGCACTCGCTCGTTCGATCGTGGCGATAAGCATCGCCAAAGCGGGTGCAAGCGCAGTGACCATCAGCGCGCGGAGCCAGGATACGGGAGAGAAGGCCGTCGCTCAACTAACCGAGCATACACCATCTTGCCGGGCAAGTGGGGGAACCATTTGTAGGTCGAAATCTTAACCTTGTCCCTGGGCCTGGAGTTTGCCCGTCTTGTTGGTTAATGATCGCAATCTTGTTGGGCCGGGCGTAGGCGGGTGTGAGCTAGGGGGTGCTTCGTGTTCAGATCACGGATGGGTTCGTCGTGGGATATGTAAAGAGAGAGGTACGTTTTTTATCGAAATGTTGCTTTCCCGTGTGCTTGCCAGGCACTGTTGTCGGAGGTTTTCTAGTGCGTCTGTTCACCTGTGTAGTGCTTTTTTCGTTATCTGACTGCTGCTGTGATGGCGTGTATCATTTTGCCAATACAATGTGACAGTTCTTCTTCGTGCCGGCGGACGTTGCCAAAGAGGAAGACTGCTCCAGACTGGTGTCGGAGGCAGATCGGCTCATGGGTTGCATCGATGGTTTGGTGAGAGTCTAGGCGTACTTTTCCCTGGGGTGTGCATGCAACGCCTGTGTTCGGTTACACCCCTTGATAGCGGTTCCTACAGTTTTACCCGCACTGACTCCGATTGTATTCCCAGTCTACCCTGCTGTTACCATGAAGTTCTAGGTCTAAACATACCTGTTGCAGTCATGAACCGCATATCAACAGTCTTAAAAATATGTGATTTGCTTTTTTGAGCGTTCGCGTTCGACCCCCCTCGCTCGGGACGGCTTTTCTCGCTGCGATCGATCAATCCACGTCGATCTAGCCAAATCGAACGATCCGGGTGCATGTTTTTGTGTGTGTGTCAGGTGAATTGTGCCGCATGGACAGCGCGAGCAACTCTCGACACCACGACGGTGGACGTGTGGGATCGCATGATGAACACGAATGTCCGGGGTCCCTTCCTCCTGGTCCAGGTGGGGCGCTCTTGCTGATCGTGTGGTATGGCAGGGGACGGCGGACATACCTGAGGCGAATGTAGTGGGTTAGTTTTTTTCAGTACAGTTCAGTACAGTACCCGAGCACCTTTGCGGGGTATTGATTTTCTTCTAGACCTTGCCTGTTTTACTGGTGTGTGTCGCTCGAGCACGTATCTGCACGGCATGCTTCATGAGACAAAACAAACGGAGCCGAACAGACGCGTGATTTTTAAAGCCGCGCGGTACGTGTCTTGTACAGGCCTTGCCGCTCTCAGTGTCTTGCACACGTTAGCGCCAATAAACTTGTGCGTGGATTCCCCCAAGGATTTTTTCCTTGTTATAGTTGGGAAGATCTCCTGCCCCTCCAAATTTTGAACGACGCTGTTTTGTTTCGTGAATTCTCCCGTGTATCGTTTCCAGGCGGTGTCCAAGTCGATGAGGAGTAAAGGTCGTCCAGGATCGATCGTCAACATCTCCAGTGGTGAGATGATGGAAACCAAAAATAGAAAATAGTGTAGAAAGAAGAGCGTTTTTGCTTTTTCCCGGACGGGACCTATTTGACGTTGATCATGTCATCATCGATAGCCATCCTCCTCCGAGTACGCGTTGCTTTATCAAGTCAGGTGCAAGGGAAACGGAAAGGCGTATTTTGGCGTGACATGCTGCAGACGGGAACAGCCTTCTACAGGCCGTTTGGCCGCCAATTTGTCAATTTTTATCGATGGAATTATAACTTGTCTGCAGGTCTGGCCTTGATATCCAACCCCCGGCACTTTCTCATACCCGTGCAGTCGTTGCCCATGGCGGCATCCCGAAAGTCAGCACGTACTCCGTTTCGAAGGCAGCCCTCAACGCCTGCACCAAGATGCACGCCTACGAGCTCAAACGGTCCCGCATCAGGTGCGACGTAGACTCGTTTTTGCTGATCAGAAGTGCTGTGGGATACACACTGCACTTGTAGAGACTGTGGCTTTGTCCGATAGTGCTGTAGGATGTATGGGTGTGGGACGCCCTCGTGATGACCCAGAGTAGTCCATCACATCCCTTTGGAAATCAGAGGGCGTGTGTGAAGTGGATATCAGCCCATTAGGGTGTGACTCGTCGTGAACGTCACGTTTTGGCTCCAACGAGAGTTGGGGTACAACAGCAACAATAGTAAGTATCAAACTAAAATCGCTCCTTGGTGAGCCTGGCTTTGTCGAACACCTTGCCAAACTTGTCAAGTGCTAAGCATCCTCACCACGCACGTCGAGGCGCAGGGTAAACGCAATCAACGTGGGGTGGACGTTGACGGACAACGAACACGTCCTTCAGCGGGTTGAGATGGGGAGCGAGAACTGGATCGAAGACGCCGATAAGGTGTGAGCTCTTTGCTGTTGCTGTTGGTGTTGCCGTTGCTGCTGCTACTGCTGCTGTGGATTTTCTATCACCGTGTTGTCTTGGTTGAGTATGCCTGACAAGGCAGCATGTGCGGAAACAGACTTAGTGGTGACGCGAGAGAAATCGACACCGCGATAGAGCAAGACATTCGCGATTGATTCTGCGCACCGTTGCGCTACTACTGATTAGTTTTTTCGAACATATAGCAACGCCTCTCTTTGACTCCGTGCGCTCCAACGTTAAATAAGCATCCCTCTCCTCCTCAAAGAGTTTCCTTGTACAAATATGAAGCCGTTCTACTCAGCAAGACTTTTCGCCGCAGGCCGGAGAGCAGGAATATTTTTCTGTCTCTAGCTTCGCACTCCGTCACAAATTTCCATGGGCTTGCTCTTCCTGACCGGGGACAGCGACGATGCTCTTGTGAACGCTGTGCCTCTTGAGTTGGTCTTGAGCGCTAGAATAAGAGTCGGGTGGTTTAGTGTTGATCGTTACACAAGTAACTTGTGTACCAATACGTGTTTTTTCTCATACCTTTACCCGAAAAACAAGTTTCTGCGGGACGGGCAATGTGCCCCTTCGCTAACCGTTTCAAGTCCCCCCTGATGCTCATTTCTTCATCACCCACGATCGCTCGTTATACTGGTTTCGCACCGGACGGATTTCTGCCACCACCAAAAGGGGCATGCTATGGGGCGGTTACTTCGGCCCGTGGATATCGCCGCTACCGTTGGACACCTCCTCTCCGACGCTAGCGCGATGATGACGGGTACCATCGTCGACCTGCACCCTGAAATGGTGCGTGAGAGTTTGCACAACAGGCATTGCTGAAGCGTCTCTTGTTGGTGTTGCTAGACTTGCGTCTCGTTCTTTGTTTCAAAAGTTGTGTTTCATGATGTGGTGCCTAACACGGTGCTCGCTGCATCTCAACAACACCAGTCGCAGCATGCCTTGGAACGAACGTGGAAAACGACCGATCGTTTGGTTTGAGGAATAGACGAGACGAACAGCTGTAATTGGGTGACACGTTAGGGTTACAAGAAAATGTTGCTGTTGAGATACCGGTGTGTGACAACATCTTCTACCCCTTTCTCTTACCTTGCGATAGATCAAGCTACCAGCTGTTCTAGGTGACCTCGGGAGGACTCTTATGTCGTAGACACAATGTGTCTTCCCCGCGTCGTCGTGATTGGTCCGTTTCGGTGTCATCATTATTACCCTTTATTTCCTGCTTCTTTGCTCGTGGCATCTCGCTGCCGTTTTGTTGGCCCATGCTTTGTCGTGTCGTGACCAGGTGGACAATTGCTGGGGTTGAGAGAGAGGAGAGGGAGGAAAGAGGACCTCCACCTTACCGAAAGGCTACTGGAAGGATGGAAGGATTATTGGGCACAACTTATAGCTCCTATTGTAAATGCTGGCAACTACGCTGAAAAGGGAACCTGTGCGTAATTTTGCTACAAAATCATATTGTTACATGCAAGTCAAGGCTAACACATGTGTTTGGGTGTTGAGGAGAGCTGCATTAATTGATCTTGCGTCTACTTTATGTTTGTAAGCACGCTTTCCAGGGAAAGGAGTACGCTTTCAATGCGGCGGCCGTTCCGCACTTAGTGTCGAGGCGTGAGCAGCAGAAGTGTGGTAGAAATAGAGTTTATTGTCGCGTATGCCAGTCGCTGCAGCGTTCATTGTCTTGTAGAAGTAGGTCGGTCTCTTTCGCCATCGACACGTCCGTTCTGGGCCCAAGTAACCGAAAACAAGACCACTAAATGACACTTGAGCAACGCGGGACATGCCGACAGTCTAGGCGAGGACTTGCATGTGATGTTGCCGACCACACCAAATAACATGTCGGGGATTACCTGACACAAGCCAAGCACGTTGGGTAAATCGCACGTGTAGATTCAAGGAGTGGAATGTGCCTCGCACGTTCACCATTCATGTTTTTGAACTCCGTCAGTTGTTGAGGACACGCAAAGGCTGACACTCCCACGTGGCAAAAACTCTCTACAGCACTTCGGTCAGGCGAAGCTAGATGCTACACATTGTTGCTGTTCCACCGCCGCAAACTTGAGTCCTCGGCCGAGACTTTATATCCGATCAACTTTGGCGAACACCGCGCCTTCCATCTCTTCTCTCGGAGCCCGTCGCTCCGTCCACAGCTGGAACTGTTCCAAGCCCTGCTCCACTAGCATGTCCGCTCCCTGCACGTACGGACACTGAGCCTCCTTGGCTTGCGCCAGGAGCGATGTCAATGCCGGCTTGTATGCCGCGTCGAATACTACGGGCTGACGAGCCGGGGAATACAAGAGCAAGGAAGTCGAAGGTTTGCAAAGGCCGGGCGGAGGAACAAGTGAATGTGAGTCGAAACGGGTATTTGCTTGGCACGCCGTAAACACCCACAGGATGGAAAAAAACAAACAAAACAAGCTGTTTCGTGTTTCAAAGCTGAGACAGGTTTTGCGAATGCCGTGGTTTCAGGTGGAGCTCCCAAGCAAACAAGAAGGCTAAGGGTATAAGACGGAGCGATCGTAACGGTCCCCAGAAAGCACCGGGCTGACCAACCGTTCACACATGCAAATTCCCCCGGTTACACACACAACGACCGCGTCAGCATCATTTCGTGGCCCGGAGCGCTCACCTTGCTCTCCAAAAGGTAGTCAGGCAAGGTGAATTCCGCAGCAGCCGGAATAGTAGATACCACAACATCCACAGCAGCAGCCCCGCACGCCTTTTCCAAGGTCTCCGCATCCAGCGCAGAGACCGCCGCGCCTCCAAATCTCCCCGCTAGTTCCTCCGCCTTTGATGGCGTACGGTTGTACACGACGACCTCAAGCCCTAACCGCTGCATGGCAAAGAGCGCTCCCATCGCCGCCCCGCCCGCCCCGACCACTAGAGCAACCCCACCCCTTCCCTGCTCCCACCCTGACGACGCCTCCAGCCGCGCCTTCACCGGCCTCAATATCCCGAGCCAATCGGTGTTGTCGCCCCTGAGGCGTCGAGCACCGGTCTCCGGATCGGTCCCCACGACGACGGTGTTGACGGCCCCGATGGCTTCCGCGGCCTCGCTCACCTCGTCCAGCAAGGGCAACACGTTCTGCTTGTGGGGAATGGTCACCGACGCGCCACCGAAGTCAGGCCTAGACAGCGCCTCCGCCATAATCGCCGGGTCTTCCCCCTCGCAGAGAAAGTACTCGTGCGGGAGGCCGGTGCTACGGAACCCAGCGTTGTGCATGTCTGGGCTAGGGGACGCGGAGATCGGCGACCCGAACAGGAAGAAGGAGCGAGGAGGACAAAGGCCGAGCTCCGCGCGGTGGTGCATGATCTCTTTGGAGGACATTTGGCCCGGGGCGGCGACGAAGGGGAGGTTCTCGTGGGTCACGGGCGTGAAGCGCTTGTTGAGGACTCTGCTGAGCTTCCCGGTTTCGGTCAGGCAGAGCCCGATGTAGGGGACGGGGAGGGCGAGGGATTTAGCGGCGGCGTGGACTCGGATGCTGTCCTCGGGCTCGAAGGCGGTTGTGACCACCTTGCACGTTCAAGTAAAAACGTAGGCATCGTACGCGACAGCAGAAGCAAAGAAAAAATGAGGGGTGGTTATCTCGCGTTAAAAATTAATCAAACGAGACCGACGTATGAGGGTCAAATAGCGCAACTGTTTTGACTGGCCAAAACCTCAAGACTCACGTCATCGGCTATTGAGAAACGTCACAAGTGCACACGGAGGTAGCCCGCCCACAACCCACGAAAATGGACGCATTCTGTCGAAACCACGCACAAGCCACCGCACACACCTTGACGCCATCCACAGCGCCGTCGTGGTAGCACTCCATGAAGAGCTCCTTCGCCTGCTCCTCCGTAGTCTTCCTTCCGACAACGTGGTAAGACCCCACCAACACCGCTCCCGGGTAGTTCTCCCCTGCCTCTCGGATCAAGCCCTCCCTGTAGCTCATCGGCCAGTTCGCCTCCACGTCCATCACCTCGCAACCGGCGCGCAGGCCCCACCTCGCCAGCCGGAAGATCTTCTCGGGGTCGTCGGGGAAGGCGCCGCACTGCCCTTTCGAACGAATCGTAAAGACGACCGGCAGGTAGCCAGTGTGACGGCGCAAGATGGAGAGCTGCCTCAGCACGGTGTACGGATCCTCGTTGTCGGCTAGTAGGTCCACCCGCAGCTCCATGGCGTCCACGCCTTCCGTCAGGGTCGGCAGGAGGTCTGTGTGCAGCGAGAAGTCCTCGAACGTGAGCGACAGGAAGAAGGTGTTCTTGCCCATGTCCAGCGCCACGTCCGCAGGAGACGGCTTTGGCTTCCGCGAGAAGGCAACCAAGCGCGACAGCTCGGCCTTGGCGTAGTCTTCCTCCACCCTCCCGTCGCCCACAACGACCGTGTATTTGGTCGCTTGCTCGCAGCGCTTGAGCGTGTCGGTGTCGTCGGTGTCCAGCGCTAGATGCACCGTGAGCGGGTGCGCATGCGCCATGCTCTTGAGGTCGGGGTGGTCGAGGCACAGCGTGGAACGACACACGAAGACCCCGTCAGCCTTGGTCCCGGCAAGCGCTAGCTCCGCGCCGCGCGGGTCATCGCTCATCTCTCCCAGGTCGACGACGATGCTGCTTGAACCCGTAGTAGAGCTGTCAGTTGACCATAAGTGCTCCGCAAAGGTCTGGAGAACCGCTCTATCTGAACAGATCAGGACAACCGGTGTCACGGCTCTCGGCGCAACGCTGGTGCACGAGACTGCAGTAGCATCTCCGGTTGCTTCGGCCGTTGTTCCATAGACTGCCTTTAGTCCCGCCGACCGGCACATGGGCTCTCTCTTGGCCTCTGGACTGGGAGGACTCGCAGCGGCACACGGCAAGCGACCGGCGGCGACGGGTCGCACATGAGGGATTGGGATGAATGCGGCTACCGCAGCAGCCCCGCATATTACCGCACACAACGCGCGCTTCGCTTGCATCAGGGGGCTCTTAGTTTTGGACGTGGCCCTCCTGGCTGTCATGATCCAGTTTCGGAGGTGTTGCACCCGGAGCACAATCCGCGCTGTAGATAGCCCAGAGCAGGGAGGTAGCGTGTGTTCAATCCCGTTCGCCCCACGCCCCATCTCACCCCAGCCGGTGCGTTGTTCTGATGGGCTGAAAATGACAGTCCCGCCCGGTCGTTGTCGCGCGTTTCTGCCTCCTGAGCGCGGGGCCGAGGGCCGCCAAAGCAGTAACTATCTCGCTTGCTCCTTGCTGCCAGAGGAGTACGGCCCTCTTGCCTGAGAAGAGGGCGTAAGGGCGAGGGTTGAACCCCGGAGCAGTATCAGTACGCGGTGCTCTCTTGATACTCTGTACCTTGAAAGGAATGGAAGCAACATCAGGGCCAAGCCTGCGGGGTTTGTTCGATAAGGACGATGACAGCGTACATCCTCTCGTCAACAACAGCATCTTCAAGGCCTGCCCAGCTGGCATGCGGTTCGAGACCAAAGAGGTACAGAAGAAAAGCTGTGTGTGTTGCCTGTTGGAATCGTACCTTCTTGTTCTATGCTGCGCCGTGTGTGCTGTCTACTCTGTACGTCAATTAGACGAGCCCGGAACGGCCTGCAAGTGGGCGACATGCTTACGAATGTTGATGTTTCCCCGTCGTCACGGCAGGTACAGGTATTATGAGCCCCTTTTACAGCAGCAATGCGTAACGCGCCGGGTTTTGCTTGTCGGAGGCGTGAGCTGTGCTGACAACCAAACCAAACCGGTGTTTGTAGACACAAGGTCCAGGCAAGGAATCGTTGATACCCTTCATCAGCAACTCACCCTGCCGCGAATGGGCGGTTTCAAATGGTTCCGGGGGTGTGGTATTTTACGTATGCACCTACGGTTTTCGTCTACAGATATGCATGCAGGCACCACATACCTGGTACAAGGATTTTCCACCACAACCATTAACAAAGCTTGTTATGGAGCTAAGCCTGCGGAGTCGCAACCCCTCGCTTGAACCAGCCAGACACATCATCACTGGTATGCGTACAACACACGCAGCAGGAGCCGCCGGCGTTCATCGTTCTCGTCACAACAACGCCTTCCCTTTCGCGCCATGTGCCCGGCCTACCGGTACTGCTACACCAGGACTGTAAGCGGTTCGTCCGGGAGCATTGCCAGGAGGGAAGCAACCCCGATTACCCCTGGATGCAGCAGATCTTCACCACCCTGGTGACCTGGCGGCAGCTGGAGCAGTACCTCTTCCCCTGCTTGCGCGACATCTGGAAGAAGACCCCCTTCCGGAAGGCCGCGCCGCTTGACCCCGACCGAAATGTTTTCCTCGGCGAGGTGGGTGTTGGGTGTTGTGCCTGCCACTTTGGATGCATATGCTGAAATTGTTAAGGGTGCGTGAGGGCTGTCGGGGCGAGAATATTAGACTCCGCCGCCAGACCAGAAATTGTAGGATACGTTGGTATCGGTTAGCATCATCCTCGCCGTTTTTTTCGCAGTAACCTCTGTATTGTTTTGTGTGAACGGGGATACTCCTTGTATGGGAATCTGTATCTACAGAACGACGGCAAACACAGCCTTTTGGTGATGCCACTTCTCAGCCCTCCATCCAGATATCATCACAATCGACAATTTTATCCCCTTGTTGTCGCTATGACCCCTTCCATGTGACGTCTCTTTTTTTGGGCCGGCTCTGTCCGCTCGCGGGTTTAACCCGTGCCTGTGGTTTCAAGCTGTCTGTTCCTTCCGCCCTTATCCATGCGAGCGTCACATTGCGTGCGAACAAGGCCGGATTATCTTCGTTGCTCCCTGCTGTACTTGGATGCTCGGATGCTTTGCTTTGGTCGGCAGGGTAGACTTGTATTCCGTTGTATTCCAAGCGCTTCTATGTTAGCAAGGCATGACCTAGAAGAATTGCATATAATACGAATCAGATTAACCCTTGCTGCCGCACACGTGCGTGTTGTAGACCCCAAGGCATGTCTTCTCCGCAACCAGAATCCTTTCGTGGGTCGATGGTTTCCATCCGTTTGCTGATACACTGGAGACGTTGGTAAACGAAACCCGCAAGGTGGTGTGCTTTGGCTAGCGGTTCTAGCTGGTCCCCTTCTTGCGTTCTGTACCGCGGTGCCATCCGAATATATCCACAACAAGAGACGGGTCACAACACAGGTTCTCCTCGGCCTCAATGCCTGCTGTAGGTTAGCCTACGTCTGCACCTTGACCCAAGAGTAGCTAGCCTGCATCCACCACGATTGTAGATTGTGCGTGCGTGCACAATTCTTGTGTCTGACGATATCGATATTCCACGTCATTCACAGGCCGAGCCATCGGGAGAGTGGCCGCTGCATGCTGAGGTGTTGGCGGGCGTGAGGAAGCGGCTTGATTTGCCGTTTCACGGGGGGGGCGTTGACGCTTCGGGAAGGCAGCTGGGGTTCCTATCGTGTGCGTCGACGGAGAACACCCTGAGGTGGGAGTTGGACACTGCATACGGCGTGTGTGGTTTCTCTTAGGTATTTTTTTTGCGTGTAGGTTTTGTTCTTGGGTGTGTGTTTGCTTGGCCTCTGTCGTAGTTCGTAGTGGGGGTCACACGGCACTCCTACACCGTCGTTGTCTCATACCTTAATTTCCCTTCCAGATTTTCCTTCCACTGCTCGGGAACAGATCACGGTACGGTATACCGTGTGCATGATTTGATGGGCAACAAGTCTTATGGCCCTGTCGAAATACCAGTGTAAGTTTGTGTCATGTAGAGGTGGGTGGCGGTGCACGGATGCGCGTCCGGAAGACATGCGAGACTATTGTCGTGCAGTAACATGTGCAAAACTGCTGATACCCTGCAAGGAGCACCCACTTCCCACCAGTCACCCGGTTCGAGCTACTCCACACCCATTTATCACTCTATCGACCGCTTTGCCCGAGTACTTTTATCTGGTGTGTGACAACTTCTTGGGTCTTGTGCTGCTGCCCGCACGAAAAGTTTATTATTAAAGTGGAGAACACGTGAACCCTGAGAGCACAGCAATCGTGATTTTTCCATGCGTCATTTCGGGATTATTGACAGATATCTGTTCCACCACATGCGGTGCGGCATTCTGGTGGTGATACGCAACAAGCGGCTCGTCGTCTTCGCCCCGTTTGCTAACAAGGACTACACCAACGATTGGGACGGCGCGTGAGTGAGCATGTTGCGCCATTTGCTGTTGTGGTGTTTGCTGTTGCTGCTGCTGGGCTATTATAGTGTTATTGACGCTGGTGACGATGGTGTCGTTGCTCGATAGATGAGAATTATACGCCCAATGGTGTCGGGCCACAAATGCGGCAACCTTAAGCAGTTCCAAGGGCGGCTCAATACTGACACCTTGATCCCGCCGTCTCTTCCCTCGAGCATGTTACCTTCCAACAGCAAAGGGCCTGGGCTCTTCGTTACGTCATGGACGCGGGAAAACAGTCACACTCACTCTCGTACCCCTGCCTTTTGTCGTGCTTCTCCCCGCCTCCACCGCGACACTGCTGTGCGGTGATGTCAGGCTGGGGGTCAAGGAGGAGAACCTTCAGGACTACTACCGAAAAAAGGAGGAAAGCTACAGGAAGGTGATGGCATGCGTGGTCAAGTAGGCTGAGCAAAATGGCAAAGCAACAAGCAAGTACGCCGCGAACTGCAGCACAAGGCAATGATACATACCAGCTGTTGTGGTTTAGCGTTCATCCGCGTCGGTTGATTGTCGCAAGGGGGCTCATGAAATACGTCTTCAGCAAGCACCTGGCACGGCAGTGACGCTAAATATTATATCGTATCCTATCGATGTGATCCAGCGGTCCAACCGACATGAAGATTTGGAGGACTTTGTTTCCCCTGTTGCTGAAACAACAGGAAAATGTGTCTATCGGCCTTTTTCAACAGAGTCTTGTTACCCCCATCGCCGCAACCTGAGCTTCCAACACGGGCCCCCGCGAGCGAAGTCTGGTTTGATTCAGTCCTTGCTCCACCACGACACGTAGAGTCCTCTTCCTGCTTTCACAGTAAATTATTGTATTCATATTTCTTGGGGCTTGGTTGTCTTTTATGTCTTTTGTCGTATCCACGGGCCCCGAAAGTCGTCTGCTACATCAGTACCAGATTGCTTCGGGTAAGGTTCAGCACGACTTTCGAATGCGAAAATACACTACAATGCTTGCTTGCTATGCCATGTTGCTACTACAGCTGCAGCAACAACCCTTGTGTCCGCTGCTTTTGTTTGTTTTACGCGAGTAGGAGAACGTGATTCAAGGGGTAGAAAACTGGTGGGCGAACGGGAACATCATCTGCAACGAACACCAGCGCCTTCGAGAAACAAACAGTCAGGTACCGTACCGCATCGTGTTTACCGCACCGTATCATACGATTCCGTTTCGTACCGTCGTTTGCTGCATTGTACAGTCTACCGTACCGTGTTATCCTATTCACGAGAAACACACAGTCAGGTGCACGGCATCGTTAATACCGTATCGTCGTGTCGTACCGCCGTATGCTGTATCGCGCGGTATACCGTACCGTGTACGTTATCCGAGAAATCGCGACCAGGTGCGGTGGTCTGCCTATTGGGCGCGGCGAATGCCGGCTTGATATCTTGGGGACAAGTCCTTAGCTTTCGTTGCTAAGAGTGCGATATTGCTGCAGAAGTGCTATCGTACAACACGCAATTACATAACAAAAACAACGCGATACGAGACTGCCAAGCCAACAACTTTTGCTTGGCATTGCTCCTGAAGCGAGTGCTACAGCTTCTCTCTGTCTTACCCCCCCATCCACCCTAATCCCATTTCTCACGCACTCTAGCAACCGAAATCAAACCACCCTTCCCCCCTTCCACTTCCGGCCGAAACCCTCGGACACGGGTATTCTCCCGCCCCATCAAACATGAAGACCGCCAACTGCTCTCCCTCTGCGTTTCCTACTGACCGCTAGCCTACCCTTGCCCTTGACGCGTGGCTTGCAACGTTGCTTGCTGTAACTTAGCGCACGTTCTTCTATTATCAACAGAACAACAAAACAACAAAACAACACGCGGGTCATGGGCCGTCCCATCCGCCCCAACCCCGTTCCCATATCCTAACTGGTCGATGCGCACACACAACCGCCCCATTGCCTCTGTCTGTCTGTCTGTCTGTATCCCTGTCCTCTCGTCCTGTCTGTCTGTCTGTCTGTCTGTCTGTCTGTATCCCTGTCCTCTCGTCCTGTCTGTCTATCTGTCCGTCGCTCTGTCTACCTCTCCCGTCTGTCTGCCTGTCTGTCTCTGTATCTCTGTATCTCTCCCTACCTCTCTCTCTTTCTATCTGTCCTGCCTGTCTGTCTTCCTGTTTCTCTCCCGGTTGTCTCGGATCGTCAGTATTGGGGGGATCACTTCAACTCCCCTCTGAGGGACATGATCGAGCAGGCGTGTTCGTCGAGGGATGTCGCTGACTGCGAGTTCTTCATCAACAAGCGGGACTACCCGCAGCTCAAGTTCAACCCGAACTCGCTCAAGCCGGTGGAGCCCTACGGTTTCATCTACGATAAGGACGACCGGTAAGGCTAACGGCTACAGCAATTGTGCGTTTCGACACAAGAGCAAACTGCCAGAATCGGAGGAGGTATTACAAGGTTAAGGGCTACAGCTATTGTGTGTTAGGACACAAGAGCAATTGCCAGGAGGTATTGCAAGGTTAACGGCTACAGCAATTGTGTGTTAGGGTTAACGGCTACAGCAGTTGTGCGTTTCGACACAAGAGCCACTGCCAGAATTGGAGGAGGTTTTAATGTTAAGGGCTACACAAATTGGGCGTTAGGACACAAGAGCCATGGCCAGAGTTGGAGGAGGTATTGATTGGCTCTGGAGCTGCTTGCATAGCGATTGCAGCGACGTTTGAAGCGGGAACACCGGCCGTTGTTGCGTACTTTGGAAACCAAAGTTTTGGCGAGGGATGTTGACGGTTGTGTGGCTCTAGAGGCTGCAGACGGTGGCGGAGCATTGAGGAAGGCGATCGGAATGCTGGGCTTGACGTTGGAACTGAAGGTTGATGATGATGTGTTGATGGGAATGACGTCGGAACAGACATTATGGTGTTGTGTGCTGTGGCACCTTTGGGGTACTGCTTGGAGGCACTGCTGTGTCGTTATCGTTGATCCAGGCCGGGGTTCGGCCACCACAGCAAGGTGTAGTTGCCGTTTCTGTTTCTCATGACGATTGTGTATGGTACGTTGTCTCTGTCTTGACTAGGGTTTGCCTCCCCCGCTCGCCCCCACGTTTTTCCCCGGAACCGCGCACCCTCGTTTCACGCAGTCAAGTTTGACTTGGGACGAGCTCCGCGTACACTCTCAACTTCGAACGACCCCAAATTCACAGCTGCGAGTTTACTTGTCCTAGCATGTCTGTCTCCAACTTGACCCGTCCAGTGATCCGGAGCAAGACGTACCCTTGAAGAGGCATCGCTACCCGTCCTTCACGCCCATCGTCAGCTTCTACTGCTCAGAGAGGTAAGAGGCCGTCAATTTTGAAGACCTACGGTGGTATGTAGCTGCACTCTTTTTAACCTTGTATGTTTGTTTGTGGTTGAGCGGGAACAACGTTTCTTTGTTCTCACCGGTACTATCTACAGTAGCATGCCTACAGCAGTCCCACTATTTCACTATTTCCATCCGCCGATGGATTGGTCCTCGGCTTTTCCCTAATGTAACCACTTGGGTCCAGCACCGCCAGCGAATGGGTTCAATGGGTTCAAATTTCCAGCGCAGTTTGATTGCTGATCCGGGTGCCTACGTAGATAGACACCTTTGACGAGAACGAATGCTATAATAGTTGTCTTCTCTGACGGCGACCCTGAAGCTCCTTCTCTCTCTCTCTCTCTTTCTCTCTCTCTCTTTTTCTTTCTTGACCTTTTCGACGGAGTTGGTTCCCCCCTCTCTGGGACATTCTGATTCGGGTACTATGCACTGACCCATTCGTCGATTACCCCCCCCCCTTCGCCGAACTCCGGTCCGTCGTCTCAAACTGGGCAACTGGGTGCGTGATCAATTAAACCAATCAGTGGGTCGATTAACCGCCAATACCCCTCTCCCCTATCTCCTCCCCCCCCCTCCCCCCCCCCCTCTCGTTCTTCCTTTCCTCCTGGCCCCTCTCCCCGCTCGTTGCGGACACGCCAAAGGTTTGCTGACATCCCGTTCCCTACGTCGGAAGACTGGGAAGCGGCCACGGGAATGGTTTTCCCCAAGACTTTCAGCCACCAGGTGTCCCAAACAAGTTAGAAAACAAGATGCTGTTTCGCCCGTGTATGCCTAATGAAACTGCTTTGTTTGCGTTCAGTTGAATGCCTGTGCTGCTCCTGTTGTGTTTTTTCATGACGACTTTTGCTGAGATTCTTATCGAGCCCCCCCAAACCCCCCAAAAGGTGGAGCGTGGTGTTGGGCTTGATCGTTTTTCGGGCCGCGGGATTTAGGCCGATACGTTCGGCATGTCGGATATGGATAGTTTATTCCTCGGGGCTGGACAAGAAGTTCTGAGACTGTTCGGATTTGTCTTAGGCCGGCAGGTGTGTAAATTTGGCGCGAAAATCTCCATCTACTGGGAGAGAGCGTGTGGGACAAAGCCAACGCCCGACGAAACTCTGAGGTGTTGAGTTTTTGTCGCTTGTGTTGGGCGTATTTCCACGTTGTCGTTTGATAGGATTTTTGTACTTGTACAAGTACGTTTTTGTGACACTTGGCTGTGCATGCGTCGCGTCGTTTCTTTGGACGACCAACACACTGCTGTTGTCGTCCTTCGAAGTAGTTATGAAGTGGACCACGGCATCTGCGTGGGTGTCTCGACCTCTCGTGAGGGGAGTAAAAGGTAACCATTTTCGGGCGTGGCAGCATTTTCGCCAGCTGTGAGTAGAAACAATCAGAAGTTGTACGGTAAAACTTCTTTCTGTGTGGGATGATACGGAGGAGACGAATTTTGAGAGATAAACACGTGCGTGGGCGGTTTTCCTGTGGCGACCTCTTGTAATATACAGGTGAACAAGGAAGGCGAGGTGGAGATCGACGAGCCGCGAGATCTCTTCACCCAAGAAAACTTCAAGAAGTTTGAATGCGACTGGGCCGACAAGCAAGAGACGGCTTTCTTCAGGTGCGAGGATACCACCTCCCCTGCGGTTGCATTCGTGTTTTTCGCTGAACAATATCCGTCCAATCAGCCTTATGGCATGTCCGGTTTGGCACAGCAAACGCAAGGATGACGACTATGTAGCTGCTTCTTCATCCCTAATGAAACGTAGCCTGGGCCGGCGTAAACCTGGCATATCGTTCCGTCCCGGCATTGTAGGGGTGCGAGGTCAATGGTCTAACGACTACCGCATGCGTTTATATGATTACATGATTACTCCTCGCCTCCCTCCCCTCCTTGCTCAAATTGCGAAGCTTGTGCAGGGTGCCAGACCCTGGGGCATATAGACCGTCCACCTCTACTTCATAGTTGAACACGTTGAGCGGCAACGTCAACCTTGATACCCCTTATCGAACTTGGCGGACGGCGGGTACATATATCCATCTCATGATACACGGGTTTCGGGTATACCGTCGACGAGATACCCGTGTATCCGGTCTTTGGTGGGTGCAGCAGCATCGGTGCCAGGACCCACAAGTTTTGTTCGCGCTGGGTGGAATATCAATACCTCGGTACCGTTGGCCGAAGAACCGACAACCCTTCTACCACAACCCTGCAAATTCGATGCCCCCCCCTGAACCGCGAGCTGTACTGTATGCATACTGTACGGTCTCAAGACTACGGCGTGCATGACCACGAGTACTCCCGCCCCCCCCCATTCCGTAAGAGAATCCTCAATTTTTGCCGGGACTCCTTCTTGCCTTGGCTTGCCTTGCCAGGGGCACGGCAACGGGAGGAGGCACTACCCGCGAGACCAACCAGCGACTAGCAATTGCCTGGCAGTCCTTCGAGTGGGAGTCAAGTCCGGAGCACAACGGGAAGGGGTCATCGTCGTCCGATGGCGGCGGTGGTGGATCGACCGACCCCTTGCTAGACGCCGCGATAGTCGGTGAGTCAGTCAGGCCCCTTGTCGGCGGTGTTGTTGCCCTGCCGTTGGGGAGAGAGCTCGTCGACTTTGTAGGAAGGCAGCTTGCTCCTAGTGGTCGTGGCCGCCGCAGCGGTAGCGACTTTTCGACTTTTCGACTTTTCGACTTTTCGACTTTTCGCCGCGGTGCGGTGGTGTGCCGCAAAGAGCGCACAACGGCAAGCCAACGGCCCCTCCGGGTTGGCAAACCCTGCGGCTCAAAAAAGAAAAAAAACTGCACCTTCGGGTGTCTGTGTCGTTGGTCTCGCGCTTTTGCGTTTTTTTTGCCGTGTCTTGGTTATGGTTGTTCTCTTTCTCGCGCGAGACTGGCTGGACTCGACCTGCCATTCGTTTGGATGAAGACACATTTTCGCGTCTTTGTCGACAGATGTTGCGCTGCTGTAGCTGCTGCAACAGTAGTAGGACAGGGCGCAAAGCCAAGGCGGCTCGCCTGTTTCTCCCGCCTACTCGGTCGACCTTTCTATCGCTTGGCGCAGTCGTCGGGCGTGAGTTTTTTAGCGTTCACGCCCTCAACATTTTCGCTCCGCGTGCCCCCCTCCTGTTCTAATGGCTGTGTTTCTTTTGGGAACCACCCAACGCAATGGTGACAACGATTGCTCGTGTGCTCGGGATGCTCCTTGCCGCACTGCTGTCGCACTGCTGTCACTGCTGTTGTTGTACTCGGTCAGGGTGGAACCTGAGAGACAAGAAGATCGCCGGGCAGGAGATGCGGTTCCTCGATCCGACCACGATCCCTTTCAAGGGGGGAAGGGAGAACTTCACGCCCATCTACCAACAGTCTAAGTTCAAGTAAGCGAGGAGGAGGATGCGTTTGTTATTGTCCTGGAAAAGAGACGTTTCATTTGTCTTGGAAGAGGGAGGTGTTTATTTATTTTGCAGGATGCGTTTTTTTTTGTGTTGTGGAGGGAGAGTTTTTGTGTTTTGGAGGAGGCGATTCATTTGTCTTGGAGGAAGTGTTTTGTGTGTCTTGCAGTAGTTATTTGTTCGCCTTGCAGGAGGTGTTTATTTGCCTTGCAGGAGTCGATTTTTGCCTCGCGTGAAGCGTTTGTCTGTCTTGGAAGAGGAGTTTCTTTGTTTGTTTCGGAACAGGTAGGTGGTTCTTCGTTTTGGGAGGAAACTTGTTTTTTGTTTTGGAGGAGGCGTTTTGTGTCAGCGTTTGCCTGTCTTTGGGGGAAGGGATGCACCCCACCTTTACCGCTACCAACCATTTCGGCAGTCTCGTCGACAGCATTAGAGAGTTGGATGTCGGAGAGTAGTTTGGATCACGGCGGGATTCAATGCAGACACTTCTGTCGTAGGGGTTTCAAGGGCTTGAGTAGGTGACTCGGTGAGCACCCCTATACGAACTGTGGTGGTGAAAGTGTAATTGAATTTGATGCGTGCGTGATTTTCGTGTTGGTCTGAAGCCAATCTTTACCCTACCCTGAACGTATAGAGATCGTTGGCCCCAGCTTGCTGGCACCATATATAAAACGAATCGCTGGCTTTTGGTGTCGCTGTCTCCATATCGGATTTTGTTCTCATCCTCTGTTTCTTGTTTCCCACAAAAAAACTGATCCTGGGGTTGTCGTGGTCATCTCACCATCGGCTTGATACCAAATCTTACCTACCGACTTTGTCATGTTATCGGCATGTTTGTGTCGCGATCGATCGGGGCTTTCCTGCCCTACTGAATGCATATCACCGTTTCGTTTTGTTTTTCCAGGTACTTGGTGTACGTGGAAGGGCACTGCGCGGCATGCCGGTACGGGTTTATGATGCGCCTCGGATCTGTTATCCTTAAGGTGAAAGTGGACCTGGAGACCTGTTATAGGAAGTGGACGAGTTTGCCGTTGCTGCTGCTGTTGTCATGCTGGCATTGTCGAGTGTGAAGTAATCTCCTTGGGTGTTCGTTGACTGCTCATCCCCTCCTCCGTGCGATTGGATCGTTCCAAGAATAATGTTTCACCTGTATGTGTTTTCAGGGGCACCTCCGTCACAAATATTTAAACAGCCACAGTAGTGCAAAAAGCTAGAGAGTGACGGAGTGGTTTACGTATAGACATGTTGAGAGAGAGAGAGAGAGAGAGACGCACAGAATATAGAGGCGCGTTCGACAAAGCGAACCCCATGATTTTCGTACAAGCATGAGTGAAACGCATTGTTGTATTGTACGTATATATATTTTTTTTCTGTCAGGTGACATCACGCTGTGTTGCCGACAGCATGTGGTACTTCCCTCTCCTGCAGCCTTGGGTGGACCATGTTCCCATCAAGGCCGACCTCTCCGATCTAGAGGAAAAAATCCGGTAAGGTGTCACTTCCTCGTTGAATTTTACCGTTTCTGTTGCATCATGGTAGGCTACAACCTCAGTAGATCCTGGTATGCTGTGGTACCTGTTGCATTCTGGTAAAATAGTCGGCGATTGAAAGTTTCCTGGAGCCTGTTAGTTCCTCTTGATGACTCGACGTACTAAATACGCGATTTACATCTAATGGCCAAGCTACATGTTTGCCCGTTGTCGGCGAAATCCTTGGTTTCCCGTATTTTTCTTACCGAAGAAAACATATCCTTTTGTCGTGTGGGTTCACATGGGGTCGACGCAACAGGGTGCATCGGTGCATCCGGCAACTCTCACTGAAACCTAGAGGTATTCCTCTCGGTTGCAGGAAGTAAGCTAACCTCAAAGACCAAAACTTTGGTAAGAAAAAACATCCCCTGTCGTTATTTCGTGTGTTGGCCAGTCTTGAGTGTGTTTGACTCTTTAGTGGTGCCCGGTTTCGAATGCACCGAATCTTGTCGCTCTTCTTACTGCTAACCTTTTTTTTATGAACACCAGATTTTGGTTGGGCCAAACGTTAAACGTCCTGGCGATTTGATTGACCAGGTGGTGCAGAAGCCATGACGATGAGTGCAGGAAAATGGCGGGTGCCGCGGCGAAGCTGTACGAAAAGTTCGTGTCTCAAGATGCAGCCCTAGACTACGTTGAGATGGTGAGAGAGGGGAGAGTTCCCGCGTGCTAGCTCTCAAAGAACAGGGGAGAGCTGCCAAATGATATACATAGTTGTGAAAAGAGGGAATCGTCGTCCTCGACAGACGTTGGAGAGATTGCACCTTCATGAAGGTGGTCTCCACATAGTTGTCAAAAGAATAGGACATATTTCGTGGTCGGAACACCCCGCCTTCATCGGCTTGAATTGAACATGCCCTGTATATGTATAGTACATGGAAAAAGCTGCAACTTTTGATCGCCACATCCGTACATGCGAAAAAACAGTATTTTCATATTTCATGGGCCTCGTTGACTTTTTTCATTTTTTTATCACCGCGAAAAGAAACCATTACGTCGGTTGAATCGTCAGGCTGCTGTGTGTCGATTATTTTCAAAGAAACCCACCCATGCACACAACACACCCGGCCTTAAGAAGCACTTCGTGTTTTCAACCGCACTGAGACTGACATATTTTCATTTGTCAGCCGGTTATGTAGCGCGGTCGATGCAAATAACAGAAGCACACACACCCTGCATAGACTCCCCCACACCCCTGCTTTACGTTCCCCGACCCGATGTCATGTCCTCCGGCCCGCTGTTGTTGTTGCACCACCGCCACTGTTGCATGTAACGTCTGTTACAGCTCTCGCACGAGATCAACTCTCGGTATCGCATCCCGCCGACGTGGTGGACTCCCTCCGCCGCCCTGGTGGACATCCCCCCACCTTACTCGCAAGAGTTCAAGTGCAACACGTGCAGCCGAGAGGGGAAATGCACTCGCTGCAAGGCGGACGACGCCGACCGCCTGGAGCGTGAAAAGGTTCGCCGCGTGCGGAATGCTGTCTTTTTCGGTCGTTGCGTGTTGACCTTTCGCCTGCCATCTCTACTGCTGTATATGCCAATGTCATGTGGTTCTCGTTACAAGACCTCTGTCTTCCCTACAGCCACCTTGTTTTGGGAAGCCGGATGTCAAAAAGAAGGATTAGGAAGGATTTACCTGAGGTCCTCCCACCCATCCACTCTGCCTTTCTTTGTAGCCCAGGAACTCCCTCCCGCGTACCCCCCACCCATGTTTTTTGGTTGTGTAGAAGGCGTTGTTTTGAGTGGCTGGAGTATTGTATATGTCCCCAAGCAATGCGTTCGTGTAAACAAGCGCAGAGCAATAGGAGTGGTTTTTTGTTGTTCCTGTTTGGAACGACGTACCAACCCACCCACATGGCGCACGTGTGCGGGCAGAAACTGGAGAAGAAGAAAGAGGATACTGCGGAGGACAAGAAGCGTCAAGAGAAGAGGGCGCGCGAGAGCATTCTCAAGCGCGCTAAGGCGAAGAAAAAGAAGCAGCAGGAGGAGGAAGACCACCAGCAACAGCAGCGGCAACAACAGCTGGAGGCGGAGAAAGCATCAAGCTCCGAATGGTAGCTTGTTTGTGTGTGCAGCAGCCCTTATGTCTGTTCTTCTGGATTCTCATTATTAGTTGGCGGTAACAGCAGTGTCAGCGAAGCAAGAGGAGGAAGGAACACATGGATTGTAGATTTAGAACTATAGAGAGGCTGGCAGCCCTTCGACGTACACCATGTATCGCTAGGGGAAGAGGGACGGTCGAGTTGTTGTACGGTGGTAGTATTTAGCACCCTCTACCCTATCAGCTTCGTCGACCGGCGGAGAGAGCAGCACCGGGAAGCAACAGAGGAGGCGAGGAAGAAGTAGCCTAAAATATCAAATATCATATGCGTATCGACCAGCAGTTTTGAGGGCAGAACAAGCAAGCACGCGCCACGAGCACAAGAACTCCAAGCAAGCCCTCACCTCACCTCACCCGAAGCCGAAGGCGCCCTTGATGTGGAGAGTGGAGGATGACAATACGGATATGTCTAGCTCGAGCACAGCCATCTCGCCCAACTTGAAAATCGTGCACGTGCTGTTCCAACCCGGTTTCTGTCGCGTCTAAAAAGAAACCAGCTACCACAACAAGTGACTTACAGGGACACTTTTGTACGCTCGAACTCTCCTGGTTGTGTGTTTAGCAGGATTCGAGCACCATTCAAAAAATTCTGCGCGCCACAGCGAATGATACTAGTCTACTACTCTGTTGAGCCTCTTGGTTGAGACGATCAAAGGCTACGGTTCGTCTTCCCACAGAGCAAGAACTGTATGTAGGGAATGAGCGTCACGGAGCTTGCCTTTCAACAGGAGGGCAGGCACCATGCAGCATGCACACACAAGTGTGAGATTGTTGTGTACTGTCACCGTCTCGGCGTGATAGCATTGTATGTAATGTGGCAAGTGGAGGAATTGTGGACAGAGCTCTGCTGTATCTTCCGATTATACTTACCGCTACAATGTACAGTTGGTGTTGGAGTGGTCGTGGAAGCATTGCTTGTCGTGGTCGTGGAGTAAATAAATTTGGAAGTATAGCGACAACAACTTTTTGATGCAAGACCGGGCCGTTGATGTGTCGCGGCGTCGGTCAAACCCAGCCATGACAGTCAGTGGGTCTGTACTGCACTCGTGTTCGGGGAGGAATTGAAAGGCAACCAGGGTCCAGGACGCTGATTGCTGAACTGCTACGTATACATATGCATATGAACGCGTTCCCGTGACGATCTGCATCAATCATTAGTGTCAATTTCCTCCTCGTCCGTTTCACCTTCCATCGGGCAAACATCAACGTGCGTACACAAGCTGAAACGGTTTCCCTGCGGATAATAGCAGTGCCTGCTTGAAGAACACGTGCACGCTCATATCCGAACTTTTTGCAATTTGGTTGGTAGAGTGTCTAGATTGTGGGAATACGAGGGAGGTGTACTCTGCGGGTCGCGCCGTGTGCCTTCGACCCAACACGACGCCGGAAAAGCAAGAAGCCGACCAACACTTGTTGTATTACTGCATTTCGTGACTTTCTCCTGGCAAAGATGGCGCTGCGCTGTCTGGAAATTCACCCAAGCTTTTCTCCAAGCAGGACAAGTGCGGTTGCTCACGGAAGCTTACACACGTTAACCAACTCCAGTTGACCCTTGCCCCCCCCCCCGCCGTCCTCAAACCACCCCATGTAACACACGCTCAACCCACAGCATTTAGTTTAGGGCATCTTGAAAATCAACCTGTATTTGTCTTGCCGTCTATAGCCTAACCCCGACTCTAGCTCGCCCGGCTGCTGTCTCCCGATGCCCGTCCTTCGTCTATGTAGTGCCCTACCTGCCCACCAACCGAATCAACCAAGTCTTGGGTCTAGAAAAAACAAACACAAACAGGGTGTCAACCCTGCGGTAGTTGATTGTCGGATGATCGACCGCACAAGAAGAGAAACAACCCGTCCGAGAAAACACGTAACCAAGCGAGGCACGACGTCGTCAACGGACGTTAACGTTGTCCCAAGCAGGAGGAAAGCTACTACTAGCCCCAAGTGCCCGCGACAACCACACCCAATGCGCCGCGTGAGAGAAGGACGGAAAAACACGAGACAGAAAAACCGAAAAAACAGCGGTAGCCTTTTGGGAGGAGGGGGGTGGTCTACCAAAAGTGCGCAGCCCCCTCTCCCCTCACGCCTCCCTTCCCCAAAGAAAGCATAGGCCTGGGGGGTTCCGCCGCAACACAGAAGAGGTACGACCCCCCCCAAGGGGAAGCGTAAGCGTAAGCGCAGGCAAGCAAGCAACACATCAATAATATCATTCCAAGCGAAAGGTGGCGCATCCGCTCAAGAAAAACCTCGCCAGGTAGACACTCAACAAGTACAAATTAAAAAAGGCAGTACATGCCGCGGCCTCTACTGTCATCGTGGAAGGCTTCCTTTCCCACAGCGAGAAAAAAAAAGCATCATCCGCATGTTCAACCCAACGACCGTTGTTGCTTCTACCCAAACCGCCCCGAAAACATTGACATCTAAGTTACGACGTGCGCAGCGTATCCCTTGGAGCAAGCACCAACACCCCCTCGAAACGGCTCTCTCGCTGCTGACACAAGCACCATCCTCCTCCCGAACGCCACAACCAAAAGGCCAGCATTTGGGGAATTGCCACACCCTAGAACAGGGGGGGGGTAGGAGGGGGGGGGGGGGGGGGGG